TAGCGCGAGGCGGTATCGTATCGCACGCATTCGCATATATAGCTGGCACACGCAGACGAACGAAATGGAGCCTCGCGCTGGATATTACATTGGCGCGTAAGAGCGTATATAAACTGCAGGCGCGCGCGCCTCGCCTCGTACGTGCGACTAGTGGCAGCAGTAGTATCCGTCGAGCGGAAATCCAACACGATAATTCGGTTGGGCACGGGGCACGAAACTATAAACAAAGCGCGAGCGTGGCGCGCGCCCGTCCCCGCCCGCCTCTCCTGCCCTGCCCTGCCTGCCACCGTTCGCTATAATATACGCTGCTGCTGCTGCTGCTGCTGCTATATGTACGCGCGCGCGCACGCACGTATATATTCGTCAAAAAAGTCGTATATAATGCTGAAAGTGTCGGGTTTCCTTCGGTGCCAGCCACGCAGTAAATTACCCTTCGGCTCGCAAGAGGTCCAGAATCACGTAGCCACTTGCCTATATGCTATGTGTGTTTCTCTCCTCTTGCTCTTTTTATGCCCATATATTCTTTCTCTCTCTCTCTCTATGTAAGCCTCATGCCATCCGAGCTTTTTTGCGAGCGGCCAACTTTTACCGAGACCGTTCCTATTTATACGCGAATACTGCACGCTCGTGCAGAAACCGACCAATAGAGAGAGAACGAGAACGACTCGTGAAAATATCTTTTACCTTCGCTCTCGTCTCTCTCTCTCTACATGTTGTATATTAATAAAAGCACGAGGCAAAATAACCCATTACTCTGTATCGTGCTAATTGTTGCAAATTGTGCCTTATCGTCACGACTTGGCTTATACTTGAACACTCGCCCGCCCACACCCTCTTGTTGCACTCCTTACTTGAATTTTATGCTTTCGCTTGTTTTTCAACTTCGTTTCAAAAATTATATAAATTTTTGATCTACATGTTCATCTCAGTCGGATCTTTAAAATGGAAATGATCGACCAATGATTGATTTCAGCCAATGCTTTTAATGCACGTAATTTCTCACGTAAAAGCATCACGAAAAGTTGATCGATGGGTGAATCATCGTTAGTCGGTCTAAAAAGGTGCATCGCAAATGAACGCGCAGAGCTGCATACACGATGTAAACGCGCGCGTGAAAAGTAATCGCAGTTGAGGTATAAAATACGACGCTCGCGAAGCGTCGAGTTGCACATCGCTTGTACGATATTTGAGAAAGCTCTCGAGCGAGGACTTTTCGCTTGTTTCGTTTGGAAAACGTGCCTCATTGGCCGTGTTGCTGTCTCTCGCTCTCTTTTTCTACGTGCGTTCCCACCTCCGCGCGCGCGGCTGCAATTAGAGCCCCGAGAGACCAGTGACTCATGCCTCGGTGACTTAATTACGAATCTCGAGCTTCTGCGACGATCGCACGGACCGAAAGCGCTTCGATGCTTGGATCGAGCTTGTGCTTAATGTACGTATCAAAATGACCGAAACCCGCGCAGAGATGTATAGCGTAACGCTGGATTTTCAACGAGGACTCGCCAACTTCCGAGTCCGATAAAAACGAGGTCAAGGTCTTCCAAGCTGTTGCTGTTGCTGCTGCTGCTGCTGCTGCTGCTCCAAAGGCGAAACAAAACAACCGAGACAAGGGAATGCGGGGAACACTACACTTTTGCGAATGGCCGTAAAAGCACGAGGCGTCGATTCGCTGGAAACCGGCCATTATTTCCAAATAATCAGCTGCTGCCGCGCGGGCTGAGCCAGCAGTCCTGGCATTTTGTAATCTCGCTCTTATGCAATTATCGTGCTCGTCGCTTGTACGTCCGACGAAAATTCATTGTTCGCTCGATCAATACGTGTATCGGTACACGGCATTACATTCGTCGATACAAAACGGCCTACGTTGAAAAATGCGTCGCGCGGATCACGAGCTACTTTCGCCTGCACAATCTCTGTTCGACCCAAATACAAAAACCCTCGATTATAAGAAAGACAAATGAGCAACCGTTGACGGGGTAATAAGGATCGTCGTGGCTATTGCTTGTCGATTGGCTAGCAAGTCGAGCTTGCGCCTGACCAACGAAACGCACGAGACAACCAAAAGTGCACGAGTTTGAAGTTTACGAGAGCTCGTGCGGGTGTGCGAATAAAGCTCGATACGAGTAACGGATAGCAGCTCGAGAAACGAATGCGCACGATCGTGTCGTTTCTTCGAGTGTCGAATTTCGCTCATTGGGCCCGATTCACGGCGCATGGAGTAGCTCATCGAATTGCTTTTTCAGCAAATTTGTAATATATTCGTCGAGGGCTCGAATCTGGTAATGGTATACTTGTATCGAATCTAGTGCATCGGTAATGAGCCAAAATTACCAGTACACAGTCCAAGTCTCTGCTGTAACACTGATATATGCATCAGTTTAATGTGTATCGCGCGCATTATTATGTGCATTCGACTCCATCAACTGTGCTACTGGCTCGAGCCGAGCTATCGCGCATTACAAAACATCCTCTTGATCTATTATGACAAAGTGTACAAGTGACAATTTGTACGGTAGTAACAACAATATACCCGAGCCACTCGCGCAGTCCGTATCTTAGCTTATGTTTTTTTTACCAGTCGTGTTTTTCAAAACACTTTCGATATAGAAGAAACTTGAACGCACCATCACGAATGCGTGCACGCCATTAGCAGCAGCGGCAGCTGTAGTATCGACGATGACGTTTCCTTTCGCGACACTCGAAAGCTCATTTTCTAAATGCTCCGAACGATTCGATTGTTTTATGACTTCTCAACTGCAATGGATTTTTTTGATCTTTTTTTCAGATCAACTTCACAATTAGTTTGACACTTGAGATTTTTTAGCCGATTGCCTCAATTGCATCCGCTCTACGACGAGCTCTGTCGGGGGAATTTTTAAATCGCTCGACAAATCCCATTACTCCAAAGAAGGAGAAAAAACATTGCGTATGCAATAAAAAATTTACTCTTACGATTAGTGTAATAAATATGTACCTGCGTAAGTCGCTCACGCATTTTTCGTTGCAGCGCGGAAAATTACTTATACAAACTTAATAATTTGACATTTATATATAAATAAAATGTCCGAAATCATAAATAAACGATAAGACATTGAGAGATTCTACTTGTGCGTGTTGTATATCGAATATCATATTATATACGCATACAAAAAAAAGCACAAATGAGCCGTCAGAGAGATAAAAGTATATTTTTCAAAGCTCTCGCAAAGAGAGAGAGGAGTTGTCGAGGCGTGCGATAAGTCGCAGCAGCTGCAGCAGCAGCGGAGCAAAGAATCTGGGTAAAAAAATGTTGCCACCTCGGGGCATTTTCTCTCGTAACCCAAGAAGACCAATGCGTATAATGTGTAAGCTCGTTTATGCGTCAGCGATCGCAGCACTGCACGCCGCCGCCACCGTCGCAGTCGTACACGCTTATCAGTCAAAGACGATGATCCGAGCGCGAGAGTCCTGACTCGTTGCGACTGCGCACGTATGATACATGAGAATTTTTTTTCAACGATGGATTCAAAACGACTTACTAATGCGAGCGATTTCATCGCAATGTCGAAATTATATAATTAAACGATGCCAAATGCATCGGAGGCAATGACAAAAAATAAACTCGATGGTTTTTACGAGGTCCCGAAAGCGCCGTAACTACTGGCTAAACAGCCCTTGAGTATACAATCTGTAACATACGAAACGAATCGAGCTAATTGAGCAAAAGCTCGGCGTTTTACCGATTATACGGCTCCGTTAGGATCACGCACGTGGCGCGGCTCTCGTTACCTAGAGCGCAGTGCGCGAATCAGTTACGAGCCATTAATTTCAATTAAGATCGTAGCTGCAGAAGTATACGTTACAGGCCAGGAGGAAAAAAAAATCAAAGTCTCGATCACGATTACATTATACTTTGGGTAAAACGCCTGCAGTCTTATCGACGAATCGATGGATTGGTTGCACGCGCGGATAAGATATATCAGCTAATGCGGCCAGAGAGGCTCGGATTACGCTCAGCATCGGGAATTTTCTGCGCTACAGCTCGTTCGCTCGTTGCTTCGGTGTATTATACTCACGTAGTGGAGCCTGCTGCTGTTACGCTTGCACACCTCCATTGTTCTTTTGTTGCTGAAACGAGAGAAAGAGAGAAATGTTAAAGAAAAAGAGAGTAAATGAGAGAGAGAAAGAAAGAACGAACAATGTCTTTGGCGCATAAAATGAAATAAAATTAAGCGAGCGAAAAAAGGTGGCCCCATAAATTCTCGAGCAACAGCTAAAAATTAGTCGGTATGGATTATCGAGTCTGCTTCGAGCACGGCATCCGTCGCGATGTGATCGTGCTGAAATTCATTGGACCCATATCGAAGCAGGACAAACCAAACGTCCGCGAGAGCAACTGGACGTACGTTACAGCTGCCAACAGGCGATACCCCACGTTTAGTCTCGATCGGTTGCTTTTTTCCAAACTCGCGCGTATATGTATATTATTGTATTAATCCTCGTGTACGGCCTGATCGGTATACGTACGAGGTGCGATAAGCCATTACTGTATGCGCGTGCTTTCGGCCTCGAATCGCCCGCGACACGTTTGCCACGGCCGTAGTTGGCATTGACGTCGCGACGATATCGATTGCGTTATAGACTACGGTCACTCAGCCACGATTAGAAGTAAAAGCTCGCTCCGGTATAGGTCGAAATCTCCAACATTATACCTGTTATGGCTGTTGTGAGTAGTGTTTTTCATTCTCCATACACCATCCTTTCGACGAATCACAGCCAGACCCGATCATTTTTCCGCACACACCGTGGTTAACGTACTTCAGGGAAATCGCTTCGATATTTCATTGTGTCGTCGCCTCTTGTGCATTGTTCGATCGGTGGACAATGAGGCGAGCTGTTATTAGATTCCTCGCTTATTCTATATCTCTAAATCATTATCCATACTTACCACGAGCTATACGATCTTACAACTAAATCATCTACTATGAAGTATAATTTTGAAATTGTTTTTTATGATCAAACAGTAAGCAGTTTCGTATCGGAGCCCCTGTCGAGTCCCTGCATGAGTTCGCTGACGAAGGACCTGAACGCGTCGATCGGTGGCTCGCCCCTGGACTCCTCCATAGTCGGGAGCACGAGCCTCCAAGATCAGCATCAGCCGCTGCGCAGCCCGGACTCGGTGGCTTCCTTGGCCAGCAGCAGCACCACGACTCACGGCCTGGTCAGCAGCAACTCTCAGCAGCAGCATCAGCAGCAACACAGTCGATCGGTAAGACTCTTCGAATACTCGTCGTTAATTCGCTCTCTCGACATTTTCCTGATCTTCACGATTCGAAACACCCACAGTTGAAGCGCAAAGGCGAGGCCGGACTAGCTCTCGACGTGGTCGGCAACTCGAGCAGCGACTCGCTCTCCTCGCCGGAAAAGCGATCCCGCGGCTCGTTGCGCATGTCGTCGGACGAGGGTCCCAACAGCAGCACCGGCAACAACAACAACAACAACAACACCCCGACGACGTCGAGCAGCTACTCGTCCAATGCGATCGCGACGACCACGTCGAGCGGCGGCGCCTCGAGCTTGTCGCCCGGGACCGGGGCCAGCAGCAGCGACGCCAATCAGCAGCCGAGCTCGGCGGGCCAGGGCAACGACGCCAAGCCGCCTCTGAGCTACGTGGCCCTCATCACCATGGCCATACAGAGCAGCGAGCACAAGCGGCGCACCCTCAGCGAGATCTACACGTTCATAACGAGCAACTACCCGTACTACGAGAAGAACAAGAAGGGCTGGCAGAACTCCATCAGGCACAATCTCAGCCTCAACGAGTGCTTCGTCAAGGTGCCCCGGGAGGGTGGGGGCGAGCGCAAGGGCAACTACTGGATGATTCGTGAGTTTACATATAGCTTATTGTTGCAAGCTCGAGCTTTTGCGAGTACAGTACAGCACGTGTGGGATGAATTTGCAGACCCCGAGGCGAACGACATGTTCGAGCACGGCAACTGGCGGCGGCGCAAGCGCATGAAGCGCAACTTCCGCAGCGCCACTTACCCCAAGGAGCTGTACAGCGAGCGATTCGGCGGCCTGGGCGGTCACCTGGGCGCGAGCACGCGCAACTTCTTCGGCCACTCGCCGCCTGCCTACTCGACCTCGGCCTATCCCCGCTACGATACCAGGTAAATCGTCGTTTCGAAAGGCCACACCTATTATTCGCACCTACACCTTCTCCATCGTAGCCATCAGCCCCCTACTACCGCACGCTCTGCCCGAGTTCGCACGCGTACCACGCGTACATTTCTATTTATCCATATAGCAGCACCCAATACTATACCTGCGAAAACGTATTTCGATGAATTTATATGAAAGCCAACTCGGCCAATAAACGTTATCGGCTCTTATCTTACCCGTTGTAATTTCTCGTTTCAGCGCCTGGGGTCTGCAACAACAATCCTTGTCGAGCTACAGCCACTGCCAGGTAATCGAAATTCCTCTTTTTTCGCTCGCTCGCATCGAGTAACTTGGCTATAATCTCTTATTTCGTCTCACTCGTAGCTTCAGCAGCAGCTACCGATGCAATCCATGCAGATTCCAGCAATGGGCGGCTACAGTCAAATCAGCTCGTCGCTAGGTGAGTAAGAGCAACAGCGCCCGACGCGTAATACTGATAGAAATGAAAATCTAATGCCAAGAATCATCTTAAAATCTTGCGGAAATAATCGATCGATTCTCTCTGTTAAAAGACCGAATTCCTGCTGCAAGATCAGGATGATTCTTGGTGTTTAATTCCGACCTTTACACCTCAGATATCAATTCAAGTCGGCTGCTCAATGATGCATTTGACTTTTGCTGGTATCAACTCGAGCTGGCAAAGGTCTCAGAAGCATGACTGCAACTTTGATATTTCCCCATATTGATCTTACAGCAAGAATTCGGTATTTTAACAGAAAAAATCGCTCGATTCTTGCGGCAAGATCAAGATGATCCTTGGCATTCGATTCTTATTTCTATCGGTGTAGGCCCACGCGGGCCAGCCCCGTGTCAACGTCCCGGTCAAAAAGCCTTTCAAGGCAATTATCTTGATGTTCCAGGCGGCACGGGCAGCAGCAGCGCGGCGGCGATGAGCGGCAACGGTTTCGCCGGCGGATTCTCGGCCTGCTCGAGGCGCCACGACGCCGCTTCGGCGGCAGCGGCAGCGGCTGCGGCGGCCGCCGCGTCCATGACCGTCACCGAGGCCGTCTCCAGATGCTCCTACTGGCCCGACAGTCAGTATTGACTCCACCTTTAAAATTTTACCGTTTCGTTCGATCGATCGTGTAATCGTTGGAATGCTTTTACAGTGGTCAAGGAGGACCCGGCGAATACGCCCGTCTCGCCCAGCAGCGTCAGCACGGTCGGCGTGTCGTCCAACGTGTACGGCTCGACGCCACCCTCGAGCGTCTCGTCCATTGGCTACTCGCCCGTCGACTTTCAGACTCGTTCCAAATGCTTCATGTGAAATATACGCCTCATAAACCAGACTTATTCTACATTTTTACACGCAAAACGATCGAGTCTCGACCTTTATTTGCCTTGAGCTCACTTTTTTTGTTACCTTCTGTAATTTTACTTCGATATTTTCCCCCCCAGAAACCGTTACGTTACTTCGATTATTGCTCCTCACATTGATGCTATTAACTATTTTTAATCGAATATACAATTTGGAGAAACAGTTGAATTGTTTATTCTCTTTTTTTCATAGCGTTCGTGTGGCTGTTGGACAGTATTTTATGCGCTTAAAACTTTAGGCGTTTATGTAGAATTATTTTTAATCTAATCTTTAAATGTTAATTTATTATAATCATTAATCAAAGCATCGTTGCATAATTTCTTCGATTTTTAATTTGTTTGCCTCATTTTATAATGTAGTGCCAAATTGTACACGTACATTTTTATAACAAAACGCGCAACGATTTGTCTTATTAATGAGACTATTTTTGATTTGGTTCCAAGTTAAGAATCTTAGAATTTTTTTAAATTACGAATATTTCGAATTTTCTAGGGTAGCAATTCACGAAAAAAATGAAAAAAAAAACATGTAAAATTGATTTCGATAATTGTTTTATGCAACAACAATGTAATAATGATTAATAGGGAGAAAAAGTTGTTGAAAGAAAAACGTACACCCGAATGCACGAATAAAAAATTTTAGTTCTTGAGTATTCAAATATCAATCGGGTAGTTTTAAGTATATGCTACGTAATAATAAAGAAGTGTACATATTTAATGCAATTACTATTTTAAGTCAAACAATTGTAATAATTTTTAAATAAATTTTAAGCGTGTTAGTACACAAGTGTAACTTTTCAAATGAAAGATAAAATTTGCATTGTGGATAGTACAACATTGTTTAAATGTTAAACGTCGTTCATATTTAATGATAACACCTATAACTATTAACGAAAAAATCAGTATCATAATTAATATTTTATCCGCAAAATTATTGTTGTTACCTAAATATTACGATATATTTAATTATAGTTATGAAAAAATATCTTGATCTTGTAAACAGTAAGATACCAAAAAATTCAAATGGCAAAATATATTTAATAGCATGACAATTTGTTTCAAAGACATCTAGAGTTATTGCTTTTGCACATCATAAGAAATTGATACCAAATAAAAGTAACTATTTGTCGTCATTTAGTTGTACGTACCTTCATTTCTCCGAACTGAACAAAAGATAAGCTTGCTCGTCGGCAACTTCATTCAATTTAATGAAAAAATGTAAAAGCTGAAAAATTGGCAACATTTACGACATTACAGGAATTGAAAAGTATACCAATGAGAAAAGATTTTTATGCATAACGCACTGTGAAAATGAATATTTAAAAATTCCTACCATTTTTGATTTTAATGATAAAGATGGCGCTATCGATCGAGTGAAGCTAGAGTGCTGACAAAGCCTGCGTTTTTTTAAAATAGAATGTGCAAGGTGAATTGTATCCCCCTCCATCCCTACCCGTCGGGCCACGATAACTCCTCAGCTCGAGCTGCCTCTTCCCGTTGAAATTCAAACATTACGTTGGTCAACGTGCGCTGCGTCGGCGGGAAGACGCTCGTAAACTCCTTCAGTTTCGAGACTTTGAGGTTTGAAAGAATCAAGGTAGATAAGAACGCAATTGTAAGTGGTTGCATCGTGTGCCGTGCTCTGAATATTTATGATGGAACGATGATTCGGAAACTGTAACGACTAACTTTGCGACTGTAAAGGTAAGCAGACAACTCTTGCGCACGTATTATACATGTCAAAAAATTTGAAGCCCCACCATTATCATCATAGTGCAATATAGAAGTGTCAGTTGTTTCACACGAATGCCTAGACCAGAGTGACCATATTCGTAAATGTATCGGCGCTGCCGACACGTGTGTGCCTGCTTGTGTGTGTGGCTCGTAAGCCTACATAGAGAGAATGAATCGCAGCGTGTTCGCTCGTGCTTAGTGTTTACATCCGCGCACGAAGGAGAGCCGCGCTGATTTTTCCACCAGTCTAATCTTGTAGTCGGCGCCGAGCACATGTTAAAACAAAAGAAAGCCGCCGAGACCGTTAGTTTTTTCTGCATTTCTTGTCACGTTGTGATTTTTCAGAATTGTTCTTAAATACCTACGATGATGTGTTAAGCTTCTGTTCCGCGAATATTGCTAGTCTAGTTGACCGTATAGCAGTTCACAAGTTTTTTGAATTTCTACACCCTGCCGATATTTGTTATTCAATTGCAAATTGTGATCGTGACAGTGTGATGCTGATGAAACATGTTGCCCCAGTACAATGAAACTGAATTTTGTGAGCGAGTCAACGACAAATACGACGAGTACAACTTCAACGTAGCCGAAGTGGTCGAAATTGACAGCTCGGCAGATGATGTCGAACTCTATGAAGTCCACAACGACTGCCTGTTGCTCGGTGTTGATCAACGAATTTCTCCTCGAGCACCTGCCGCCGATCTCTACTATGACAGTTCCCAAAGCCCAGCGGTAATTATTGACTGTTTTTTATCCTGAATCCTAATGTACTTTGCTCGAAATTATATGAGTGATATTAAATTGACTACGTTTTATTTTCCCGCTTTTTTTATCACGCCTTAGCTGATCGCGCCTGAAAAAGGAAATACGAATTTTTTCAACAAAGCGAATACCGATTTTCCCAGAATTGATGAAGTCACGTCATACCATGACTCTTCTTCTGTACCAGAACTGTATCAGATAAATAGTTATAGTAGTAATCTTCAAGAAATTGATCGGGACGATGTTGTGGCTCTTTACAGTTCTGAGGATTTGAATAAAATAGTGCAGTCATTTGATGATAACCAAAATGAGTCTATGTAAGATTTGATCATATTTTTTATTCTGAATATTAAGAATTCAAATTCTCAATTTTTTTTTTTTTTTTTGATAGGTTTGACGAATTCATTTCACCGATATCATCAGACCCAATGGATGTCGACTTTTCGGTACGTTAAAATAAAACACATATTCGTTTCTATAATACAGAGGACATGGTAATCATTGCTTATTCAAAATAATTTTTTGATTTTGCGATTTCTTTCGAGTTTAAAAATAAAAATGAAAAACTTATTTATAATACTAAAATTATTTACAACTTGAGATAAACGTAAAATTTAAATGCTTCATATCAAATTTTTCTTTCATATAATATTTACTATTTTAGCTTTCAAATGGATCTACTGCTATGCCTCCTGAAAATGATATTTATGAAATAGGAATTTTTCCAAAAAATTCAACTTTGGTGGAAGAAACTACCATAAAAAATAGTTTCTTAGAAAAAGCAAACTTTGGATCGCTAACAAACAATAATGAAAAGGAAGAAAAATATTTATTTGACAATGATGCTGAAAGTTGTAGTAAGTCTTTTTCAAATTTGAATAATGATATTCATTTTGAGCATTGTAACATTGCAACCGAAAGAACCAACCAAGAAGAGACTAGGATCCATGAGGCACTGACAGTATCACCTACCTTATTTCCTTCTGCTACACAGTAAGTGTATTACAATTTTTAATGTTTCATTTTTTTGTACCTTGTAATATTGGAATTAACTGAACAATTTTGTTTAAGAAAATCTAGTCCAAATACCATTGATTTAAGTGATAGTCCTATGGTGAGTGATATCTTTAAACTTCATCAATATTAAATTTTTAATAATCAAACAATAACTTCTATATTTTCAGAATGAAGAAACTAAAAAGACCAAAAATGGTAACGCCAAAATGTAATTATGAAAATTTGACTTTGCACTCAAATAAAGTACATTAATTGATGAAAAAAAATGTTATTTGATATAACTAACAATAATTTATATTAATTTAGATTAGCAATATATCCAAAACCTCCTGCCAAAGGAGGAATATGTATTACATCTGAAGATTACATGTGTTTGGCTGCTGGTGAATATCTTAATGATATAATAATAGATTTTTACCTAAAATATGTACAAGAAGAAGTATTGTCACCAAAAGATCGAGATCGTACCCACATATTTAGTTCTCATTTTTATACTAGATTAGTAAAAGTACCAGATTCTGTGGATGGATGCGAAGATATTAGTTTAGCTGAAAAACGGTACGCTGGAGTTCACAGATGGACTAAAAATATTAATATTTTTGAAAAAGATTTTGTCATTGTCCCTATTAATCAACAGTAAGTATTTTTGAAAATAATCAACAGATTTCAATATTAATTAATCTTAATAATAATTTTAGTTGTCACTGGTATCTTGCAATTATTTGTTTTCCCGGCTTGGTTCTTGTTGATGATCAAGAGGTCAATACAAATATTGGAAGAAGTTGTAACCAACAAAGGTATTTGTAAAATATATTATAAAATCCAATTTTAATTATAACAATTTAATATGATTGTAATTAATTTTCACAGAACATGCATCCTTATTTTTGACTCCCTTTCTAATGCTGTTAAAAGCAAAGTAACTCGATTATTAAAAGAATATCTTCAGCTTGAATGTGCATATAAAATCAGTAGAGAAAAAGCTCATAAATTTAATAGCATTAAAACTTTTTACCCAGTATCACCAAAACAGACAAATGCCACTGATTGTGGACTATATATGTTGCAATACGTTGAGAGTTTCTTTGAAGTAAGTATTTGACTCTTTCTCAGCAATAACTTAAATCTTGATTTGAAAAGAAAATTAATATTTATCATACAACCTCAGATAGCAATCATAATCATAATTATCAAAAAAGTAATTTTCAATTCAAAACATGAAATCTGCTTTTAACTTCTTATATTATTACTTCAGCTATTATAATTATTCTTTATTTTTGAGTTTCGGAAGAATAAATGATTTAAGCAAAAAAATGAACTTCTTATACTTATTTTTTTATGAATTGTTTTCTTTAATATTCCAGGACCCCATAATTCAATTTTCATCTCCAATAAGAAATTTGAGTAAATGGTTCTACAAAAGTAAAGTAATTGATAAACGAAGAAATATTGCTGAGATAATAATGTTGTTAATGATTGATTTTCATGATGGACAATCAATTGATTTACCAACAATCAATTTTTCAGATGAACTATCAGAATCTTTCTGCGATAATTCAAATTTATCTCCCTATAAAAAAGGTTTTGATAGTGAAGCTAAAAAAAATAATTTGATTGTTGATGATGATGATGGTATTGAAATTTTTGTTCCAAAATCTAAGATAGCCTCCTCTAAAAATTTAAAATTATCAAAAAGTTTATTTGAAGAATATAGACCAATTAAAACCAGTGATCGAAATAAGCTTAAGCTAAGCAAAGATAATTTTTTTAAAAATGGAAAACCTAATATTGTTGAAAACGTATATACAACTTTAAGGAACAAAAAAAAAACAAATCAAAATTACCTTTCAAACCAGAGAAATTTAAATCACTCCAGAGAGAATTGCTCAAGAACAATGAATGACAATAAAGATTCAGTATCATCCCTGAAAAGTAATTCATTTGGAAATAAAAGAATAAATGCTAGTTCTTGTGACAAAAAGCCTTGTGGTATCTCAGATCAACCAACCATGATTTTCAAACCTATAAAAAGAAGACTTTATACTGAAACAAAAAGTTCTGAACCTGTCAATATTTCTCCAATAACACAGGATAAATTTTATAACTTTGATTTCAATAGGATTAAAAATGTAAGTGATTACATTTAACAATTCATTCAAAGTTTCTTTTATTTCAACAAACGACTTTTTTCAGGAATCAGGAATACCCCACACTTCATCATTCAATGCTTTTAGTAAAACATTTAAAATTAAAAAAAAGGAAAAAAGTATTTAGAGTTACATTCTACTAAGAATGAATAAAGTTCATAATACTGATCTAGCAATAACATTTTTTGTACGTGTAAAAATTATTTGTAAAATAATCAACATGTGCATTGGTTTGATTACAACATGGAAATTATTGAATTAAGCTTTTGAAAATTTAATTAATTTTCTGTTAGTTACTTGTGTTATAATGTATTCTTATTTTTTAATACTTCCGAAAAATTATTGTTACATCCCATTTATCCTACTGAGCACAAAATATTTTTTAATAAGATAGATATTATTTTTTTAAATGCGAAATGCATGACTTAATTATTATAAATTTATCAATAATCAATAAAATTGGTTTTTGTTCGAATAAAAATTTTTTTTTGCACTTCATGTATTAGAAATGATTTTAATCCTTATCTTGTGATTTAGTATCGGCAAAATTATTCGAAAAAAAGTATCTTCGAGTACGTTAAACCCTGCGTAAAATTGAAAATATTTTTCGTAAAAAACGCATTTAAATTCAATGAAATTAATATTATTAATTTACTTATATAACACATTTATAACATCCTGGATACATTTTCAACTGTCGTTCATTTTGATGTGATTGTGAAGTGCACCATAAAGTTTTTTTTGTATTTAGAAAAATGTGTAGTTTAAATTTCAATAAAAGATTTGAAATATCTTTATTTTTTACAGTAGTTTTGGTATTTTTTATCTGTATGAAGTTATTCATGAATTTTTTTTGCGATGAAATATTTTTGATTTGATTACTAAGCAAGTCTACGCTGATCAAATAGTCCCATCTATTTATACATTTTTTATGTAAAAATTATAGAAGATTGAGTTATGAATTAATAGTTACATGTAAGTAACTAAACTTAACTCAATAGTTTAAAAAATTACGAATATATTTTGACTATTTTTTTGCCTGGCTCTGAAGGCATGTGAAACATTCTTGAAAACAATCCTTACATTAATCAATGACAGTATATTTTACATTAAATTGTATGCTTGAATTTGTATTTCACGAAAATATTTTGCTTGAATAGGCATTGAAATGTTTGTTACAGTCCATTCTCGATTGCTTGATAAAGTTTTGATTCACACATTTGATTTTATAAACTTATTGTAAAAAATATTCAATTTCTTGATGTATTTTGGTTTTTCAGCACAGGTTTACGGCTTGGTACTCTCAACGAACGTAAGATTTGAAAGATATCATTAAATGAAACTTTATAGACATACCAGCAATGAAATGAGTTCTTTTTATATTAAAAAAATGGTAAACCAAACCAGAAATGAACAGAAAATTAACATTAGAAAAATTGACGATGAGAAGAGAAATGATACCAATTTACTTGAAATTACTGAAAAAAGAATGATATCATTCCACGCGACAGACAATTTAAAAAATGATAACAAAATGAATATAAAAAAGAGTGAAAATTATTCCAAATGCTTTGTTAAATTGGAGAGACTTAATTATAATGATCGAAATGTTGACTACAGATTTAGCGATGAAAATACATCATTGGACAAAAAAAATTATCCAACAAGCAGAACTTCCAGGGGAAAATTAAATGACCAAGCATCTACTTATGAGTGTCATAATAAAATCGTTGGGAACAAAATACCAACTGTTGTTCTTGAAAGATTGAGTTCTATAGATACATTGTTAAAAAGTAATCAAAATTTTAACTTTAACAATCGTGTCTTACCTACGGCAGATGCGATTATACTTGAGAAAAAAAATTATCTGGATGTTATTGATTTGACATGTGAAAAAGATCAAAACAATTTTGAAAATCATTTTATTCGTGTTCTAGAAGATAAAATTATAAGTAATATAAAAGTCACTTTTATAAAGAAGAAATACAATAATGAAGAAGTCAAAGTACTTATTCATTTTTCTCAAAAGCAGCAAATTACCATGTGCTTCACAATAAACGGAAATAATGTTCCAGTATCAGAACTTATGTTACTGGTAAGTAACACTTATCCTTTCGGAGGATCGAGATTTTGAAAAATTAATCGCTGGTGTGCTTATGTTTGTTTATTAATAAATATTAAGCATTTAAATGTACATTTCAAAAAATTCAACAAACTGATTGAATGTGAGTTTTTTTGTCAATCTGGTGTTGAATGAACATATTTTACTATAAAAAAAAATTTCCACTATTTCGATTTATATAGCTTTTTTTAGCTGAAGCTAAATTTAAGCTTTTAACACAGGTCGGTCCCCTTAAGCGCTAATTTCAGCAGGATGCCATTCACAGAGTGAATCGTCGGGGCCTCCTACGTTTGATTCATGAATGCGTGCCTCGCTCGTGGTGCAACGATTGGTTTTCGCGTTAAACTTGTAATTTTTATCTTACGTTCCTCATAAACCTCACGCTTCATCAAAAAGGGTTTTCTGCGCACATCATTCTTTAGAGATGCAAATTTAACTCTCAAATTTATCGTGTACTGTGTTATGTTTTAATATTCGTAGTTATATACAGGGCGCTAAATTCGGTCGAAATGCGCGTTGCAGATGTATCTTACAGAATTTTCAACCAAGCGCCGAAATAAGACTTGTTGCTAAGAGACGTCAATTTATCTGACAAGGAGAGCTTTTCAGGTTCGGGTCATGGATTTGCTCCAAAATTTTTTTGCGGTCTCCTGGTACCCAATACTGAAGTTCCCTGTGCTTAGTTTGATACGATGGGCCTCAGGTCCCATTTTGTAGAGGATTTTCCACATTATGAAAAAAATCTTTGTTATTTTCTATATCGAAATAGAAGTACTTAAACGAAAAAAATGGGACGATCAAAAGTTTTAAAATTTTTCAAAGAATCCGCTTGAATTTTTTCAGAATTTTTGGGACCATCTACCACTCTCTTTACGAAGTCCTAAAATCTACTAAAAAAAGCGTCAAATTTGAGCCTCTTGAATTAAGTGATAGATGGTCCCAAAAATTCTGAAAAAATTCAAGTAGATTCTTTGAAAAATTTTAAAACTTTTGATCGTCCCATTTCGTTTTATTTCGTTTTATTTATGTAGAATCATCATAAAGTTAAAGTTCTGATGATGCTTTTGTGCAAAATATACTCTTGAAGATACTCCAAAATTTTGTTGAACGTGTCTAAAATTCTTGGTTTCAAAAGTCCAAAGCAAAAAGCTTACAGTTTGTTATAACCTTTTTTCATACTATTATCAAGTTTGATGTTGAAAATTCACCAATTCAATGTATATACTATTTGTTATATGTACATTAAAGAATATGAAAGTTGACTCAATCACAGAATTTTATTTTTTTTAGGTTTATAAAAACATTCCCCACGAATACCATAATATTTATGAAGTTGATGATCCAATCAGCAAGTTTAGTTATGTTATTACAGCATCTCCATTAGAAAATAAAACATGGTTTTGTTTAAACGAAGATTCAAATAAAGAGTAGGTTTATTTGTCATACTTTACAAAACTTCAAGTAATGTTTCATGCTTTTATTTTTCATCTTTTTCTTACAGAACCACAGAAATACTTTGGATTTCAACTTGTTCAAGCGCTAACAAGTGTATCTGTGTATGTATACTAGTAAATAAATCATAAAGTTTTAATTCAAGTTTTAATCATAACTTTTTCATAAATTATATTAATCTGTTTTGTCTACCGATTTTAGGACCAAATAAGCAGTACAAAAAAATTAACGTCAGATTTGAAGAGAAATAGTAGTGTGTAAGTTAAACGTTGGAATTCAAACATTTTTGATAATAATCCGGGCTCTATCTATGGGTTAAGCAATTGTAACGCTTAAACTAACTAAGCGTTTTTTTGTAGTTCTAGTGCACTGAACACAAAAATAAGATTTTTTTTCGAAAAAGTTTTGTAAAAAAAGTTATAAACAAATTTATTGTTTATAATTTATAAAATATTTTTTAAAAAATCTGAAAAAAATTACATGTTTTCTTTGACTAATTTCAAGTCTTTTCTATCTTTTCTAAGATTAAAAAATATGATGACTTCCAAAAAAATTTAAGCGTAAAAACCACCTTTACGATTTTTTATCTTGATAAGAAATTCAAAAACTCAAAGAACAAAAAATCGGACAATTAGTCAATGAGTACGTGTGAATTTTTTCGAAGATTTTACAAGTTAAAAACAATAGATTTCTTAATAACTATTTTCATGAAACTTTTGTGAAAAAGCTATTTTCATTTTCGAATTCAGCACACAATAAAACCCTTGGTTACATTGACCTACCTGCTTGACCCATAGCTATAGCACCCGGGCTGAAGTTAATGCCCTATTGATGATAAGTTTAATTCATTTTATATTTTTCTAGAATTTTGTCGTATCCACCTCCACCTATTAAGTGGGAAGCAAATATTACCGTTGATGACTTCAAATGCCTAGATCCGAATCAAAATTTAAATGATGTTATAATTCATTTTTATTTGCAATACTTAATGCATGAATTATTATCAGATGAACTTCGAAGAAAAGTTCATTTATTTAATACTTTCTTTTATACAAGATTATCAAATCCAAGACTACTGGAAAATCAAACGGAATTGACATTAGCAGAGAGGCAATACAACGAAGTAAAACGGTGGACAAAAAAAATCGGCATTTTTGAAAAAGATTTTATCATTATACCAGTGCACCAAAAGCAAGTATTTTAAATTGAATTCATTTCCAACTATGACCAAAAAAATATGAATAAAAATTTTACGCTTTCTTAATTTGTAGATCTCATTGGTTTTTGGCTATCATATGTTATCCAAGTTTGATAAAGAATAACTTGAAAACATTTGACGAATTTCATGAAAATTCAAAAAAGTAAATTAAACTAGGTTTTATTAAAATATTTCAAAGTATAAAACCACATTTTTTAAAACTTCTATATTAAACATTTCAGACCTAGTATAATGATATTTGATTCTTTGACGAAATTAAGCGTTGGAAGGTCTAAAGTGGCTAATGATATCAAAATGTATTTGAAATCTGAATTTGATTCCAGAAAAGATTACAGTCAGAGTTTACCAGTGAACGATATTAAAATAATTTATCCTAATGTACCTCAACAACAAAACTGCAACGATTGTGGATTGTTTTTATTGCAATATGTTGAATCTTTTATCAAGGTAATGATAAAAAAGTTTTTACTCTGTGCTAGCACATAAATTGTTCATGTTTTTTATTTTATAGGATTTTATCGTTGCCGAATCTCCAAATTTTTCCTTAATCGAAGACTTGACAAATTGGTTCGACCACAATGAAATAAGTGAGAAGAGAAATAAAATAAAAAGATTATTGGTAAAATTGAAAACTAGTCCGAAAATTAACTAATTCAAATTAATAACATTATCTCATAAAGGTATTTTAAAATTAAAAATTTTAAATTAATTGAAGTTGAAATTTTAGTGGGAGTCCCGGAATATATATTATTTTAACTGTATCAAACAATTAAATACGTGTTCAGTGTGTTTAAGTGCAAACGATTAATTTTTAATGTTTTTGTTTATTTTTAAATGTTTTACGAACTATTCATCAATTATTTTTGATGAAAAATCTTAATAAGTAATGTTCAAGGAGATACAGAAACCAGACTAAAATAGCTAATTTCAAATACTTTTTTCGAGATTGCCTGTGTATATTTTTTTAAAAAGTTATGATGTTTTCTTTTTATTACGTTCTAAACCTTTACATGGCTTTTAAAAAATAAGTTGCGTAGAAATCTCAGAAAACGTTTACAATATTTTGTTCTGTCCTAGCTTCGGATCTCCTAGCGATAGGTTGAGTTGTGAATTTAGATTATATGAATAATATGGATTAATCAATCTTGTTTTTAATTGCAATTAATCTAGTTTTGAATTGTTAAAGTATATATTATTATATGCCATTTGTTGCAGTAAGTAGAAATAATTATATTTATTGTGTGTTAATGTGATTGATTAATTAAGTCCTAATATAAATTATTGAATAAGATATTATAATTATGTATTATTCAAAGATAGAGTAGGGTAGTCAGACCAATCATATGAAAAACAATTAAAAATATATTTATATGTACGTTATTCAATTCTTTAGTGAACGATGCATCTTTTTCACGTTCGATCATAATTTAACAAGGAAAAACAATAGTTATTGCACATCCAAAAGTGGTCATTTTACTGGTCGAAAGCGGTCAATCACTGGTAAAGTACCCTATCTTTATATTAGGAAAGCAAAAGACATGAATTTTTTGCTTTGCTCTGTACTTTTTTTTATATTGTCCCGGAAAAGTCTGTAAATCCTTTTTTAATTATTGAATTTCCTTTACAATTACTCATCGTATAAAATTGTATGTTTATCAATATGAAAGGGATTTTGGATCAATTATTTTAAAAAATAATCAAATACATAACTATAATCTTGATGCTTTTATTAAAATACAGGAGTGACAAAACTCATATAAATTATATTAGACTTAATATGTATGAATTAAATCATAAAAAGTGAATAAAGAATATAAATTGCATGACCACCATAATGATTAATGTATTCAAATACTGATTTTGTACATATATTTAAATGCAGACACAATGATTTGTATTTTATAAACATTAATCATCATGTTATACAGCTGCGCTGATTAAAGCCGTTATGTTCATAATTCGCTAGCTTTAATGCTCTTGACGCGGATCAGTGTCCAATTTACTTTTAATGTATACTATCAATTGTATAAGTAATTTATAAGCCTTTATTGTACATACTTCAACTGCATGTCAATGAATAAGGAATGACTTATGTGATATCAATTAATTCTTTTAAACTTTAACTTTAGAATCCTTTATATTCATCAATCATCCAACAAATCGTCATCCAAGTTTACATCCTGTAAAAAAAGTCAGATTATTATATTAGGATACTTTATAATTTACAGAGAATCTAACTCTACTTTAAATTTTAAATAAGTTTAATATTATTACTAGCAAAAATCAGTTTAACAAAAGTTAAAAAAATTTTAGTACAAAGAATTTTTTTGTTCTGTATTAATTTCAAACTAATTAAAAAAGTACTTTTAAATTTTGTCTGAAATATAAGTTGAATGATTCAATTTTAAAAATCTTGTTGAAACCAAAAAGGAAAAATAAAACTATACTTTGTTTAGCTCCAGGTTAATTTATAGTAATAAAATAGTGATTTTTTGCCCAATTGATCAGTGCTATTTATATACCAAGATGTAATTAATAAATAGTTTCGTGAAGATACCTTACCAGGTATATAATTAAATATTGCTGTTAATTATGAAGTTATCTTATCATGTGAAAAAATTTTTTTCGCAAAATTCGAGCATAAAAAAATTAAGGAAAACTTTAGCATAAGTCATAAAGGTTTTATGCAACTTGGTACATAGATTACAAAGTATTATTTCTGAATCAAAAATATTTAATTCTTATTATTAATAAAATGATTTTATTGAAATGAGTTAACAAACATATATATCATTTAAAATATACTCACAGTTGTATCAATGTTTTCATCAATTTCTAGATCTAGGTCGAGATCGTCATCATCCAATGTTAATGGATCTTTTGTGGATAAGAGTTCGATATTGGATGCTGCTGGTTTATTGATGTTCACATTTCTCATCTGATCCACTACTGAAAGTATTTCATCTGACTTCTGTTGTAAACCATTTCCAAATGATTCATTTGGTGAATATTCACCCTTTGCTATTGCTTGCATCATTTCTTCTTTAGCATTGCGATTAATATTTGGCTGTTGACAAAAAATGTATAAAGTTTCAGTAACTTGTAACATACAATTTTCCAAAACCTAATGGTAATAAAGAGGAATATCTTTTAAATGCGTACCGTCATGTTGGGATAGTCACTTGCTGGAATTTTCTTCTTATATTGCTCACGCATAAACTTTTCGACTTCAAGAGCCTCCCTGTAGCCTGGAAATAGATTTGGGTACTCTTCAGGATCAGCTAAACTAGTTGCTGCTTTTTGGTTGACTTTGGCTAATTTCTCTTTCCACAATTTAATACACTCTGAAATTCTGCTTGGAACATATGACCTCGCAAAGAAAGCAGCCTCGGGTATACGGTCAGTTTCGATTAAAATATTTAGACACTTATCAATGTCACCCAATAAAAAGTGGGTTAAAAATGAGATGTTATTTTTACCCAATTGATCGGTAGTTTTTGCTAAAAAATTAAAATTTTTTCTCATTTCAGAAAATTGACATTGAAAATAGTTAATGAAAAAGATATAAGATTTTAGGTGTAATTATTACCTATTTCTTCAACCAAATTAGTATTAGCAGTACTAGTTGCAAGTAACAACAAGCCTGCATGATCTTCAGCTTTATTTAAACATTCTTTTACAAGATTAAGTTGACCTTGTTGTGTTGCAAGAGATGCAAGTTGTCGCCATTTTTGTTGACTATTGGCTTCTTTTGCTAGTTCATGAGCTACTTCTAAATCTTCCAATGATAGCGCAAGTTCAAACCTATGCTCTGGATCTGTGGATACTGCTAAAGCTTGTTTCTTAAAACCTTGTTTTTCCAAAAAGTGAGCAACTCTAGTACGATGTTCTTTGGGAACAGTCGGCAGAACTTTGTTTGCAGTGTCAAAATCTTTTCGCATAACAGCAGTTTGATACTCTAGAACTGAGAGCAGTAAAGAATATGATACCACGGATAATTCTTTATCACAAAGGTATAAGCGATTGTCTTTTGGAACATATCCCAGCAGGTACATAGGTCTATCCAAGTGAGATACAGTAACAACTTCACCTCCTACAAAATAGTTTACTCTGTTGACACTGTTGGTGTAGATGAAACAATCACCAACCCATACACCAGTCTTAACAACTTCATTCATTTCTGCTATCATCTGCAAATATTAGAAATTATTTTATGACAAATTAATAATTTATTGTATCAAATAAAAAATTTAAGTATACCTCAAATGCATCTTCTATATCTTCAGCATTTTCACCAGCCATTTGGACAGATTCAACGTTATATTTAAGAATGAAATACTGTTCAGTTGTTGCAAGGGCAACAAGTGAAGCATTTTCAGCCCAATATACATGTGTAGGCTGAATATCAATACGTCTAACAAGTTTCAGAGAATCCCAGTCATAAAATGAAAGACCAGAATTTGAATAAATTCCCAATAAATGTCCACCAAATATACCTTGATAAAAAATTTCAAATTTCAATTAGATACTATGAGAGTATACATTTTTACACAAATAAAAATAAAAATCAACTGAAAATTAAGCACTAATTTACTTACTATCAGCTCCAAAATCAGGTTTAAAACTTTTTTTTTCCTTAAAATTTTTAAATACTTTAACTGTAGTTGAACTTTCTCTTACTGCATATTGACTTGAATCTGCAGCCCATACAAATTCAAATGCTTGTCCAAATGCTTTATTTCTGAGTGCCATTGATGTATAGATGATATATTCACCATCTCCACAAACTACTAAGAATCTGCCATTAGGATTATGTTGAATAGTTTGAGGATAAATTTCACAAGCACCCATATCTTTTACAATTAATGGTAATTTTTCACCATCTTGTGCTTCTTCTTCAAGAGCTTTTAAATTAACTTGTTGGATTTCACTATGTTTTGCCCAAACAATTTTACCTCCTACATTAAAATAATTTTAAAAACGTATAAATATGTAATGAACATATTATTTTATTTAAGAACTTAATTAAAATTTTTCTAACTCACCCATTGAATCCATTGAAACAGCAGGTTCTTCCCTTCCTACTTTGACCATGACACTACCTTCATCATATCCAATTGCTACATTATTAGATCCTTTCATGCAAGCAATGGTCCATACTCTTTCAAAACCATAATTTAAAGGTGATTCAAGTCTGTAAGTTCCAGCATGCCAAATCCTGACAGTTCCATCTTCAGAACCAGTTAAAACAATTGGTAATTCTGGATGGAAACATACTGCTGAAATATTTTGAGTATGTCCTTCCAATGTTTGCACACAGGTTTTATTTTGATAATCCCATATTTTTACATATCGATCATCAGCACCAGATATAAGATATGGTTTATCACCACCATGATAATAATCTACGCAATTAACTCCTTTTTCATGACCTTCAAGTGTAAAATTTGCTGTCGATGAACCAAGTTGCCAAACTTTGAGGGTACGATCAAGTGAAGCACTTGCAAAAGTATTATTATCTTTAGGGTTAAATACTATTTGCATAACATAATGTGTGTGTCCATCGAAAACTTGCTGACAGAGCCACTGTTTTTCCCAGTTCCAAAGTTTAATCTGCATATCATCTGAAATGATTTTCACAATTTTAGGGTATAAATTAAAAAAAAAAATTTAATTTTGATGCATGAATTTCAAATTAATTAAGAGTTATGTTCATTTTCATTTTTTTTTCACGTAGTAAAGTTCACAAACTAACGTACCACTGCTTGTAAGAATAAAAGGTTGGACTGGATGAACAATAATACACCTCACATAATCACTGTGTGCTTCAAAGGCATGCACTCTTTCCAGTGTGTTATAATTGAAAACTCTGATCTGCATGTCATCAGAACCAGTAACAAGCCAATTTTTTCTGGCAATGAACTTGGCAGACCTAACAGGAAGGTCACAAACTTCAAAAGTTTTGACAAGTGTTTGGCTTTCATGATTCCAGATGTTAACATTGCCTTGATACAATGAACACAGCATCCATGGCTCAGTTGGATGAAGATCTACACATTTCACCCTGTCTGACCTGGCGGTCAGCTTACGTTTAATGTCTAATCTTAGAGGCTGAAAAATATTGCAATAATAATTAGACTAAAAATTTTTGAAATATTATATGTAATCATATTTAATAAATAGATCATATAAAGCTGTTGCATTAATTTTCACATAACCGATATAAATGTATACATTATAAATGACGCACCATTATAAATAACCACTAGAACTATAGGTCAATCCCAAAAAATTTTACAAAATCTGTGATTAATTTACGTCCTGTTCAGAGCAGCAGCAGAAGGTGAATTATCAGTAGCAACAGAGCTGCGACACGACTGACGTGTCTAACGCTCGTAACAACAATACATCAGCCCAATTACTTATGAACGATCATGACTTTTAAAACTAAGCATATGTTATAATAGCTTGATACACACCATTATGAGAGTATTATCGATGTTCGTAAATAATTTTTATTAATATTAATGAAAAAATAATATGACCGGCGTTATATTACAGATCACCGCCTGCCATCGGAGACAAACTACGTGGCGCTAAAGGCGCGACTCATGTACACATTTTGCACGATTTCGCTCAAAGGCATTATTCAAGCTGATGTGGTGCTTTCACGAATAATTATTAAAAGAATAAGGTTCGGCTTAATTAAGATAATTCAGTATAGTAATTGCATTAAGTAATTTATTTCATTATAAATACAACATAATTTCAATATTTTTCATTGAAATACTTGTGCAAAATTAATATATTTTTAACAGTCAAACGTAATCTGTCAAAATAGAAATTTCTTTGTTAGCGTGAAAAAACTGTATTAGATAACGAAAACTTTGAAATAAACTTTTGTATGCTGCGAAAAATGTTAAAATGCAGATGTAGTCAGAAATTCAAAGAAATACATTTTTACCATTGTTATAATATCTGTTCACCAGATGTCATGATAGTGTTGCTTACATATGTGTGGTGTATGCAAAAAATATAAGTGTTAGGTTTGGCCTAACGCCGTTGGGTTAGTTTTTATTTTGGAATTTGGATTTGCATTGTGTAGTGTTTACATGTACTCCACAATGTGTCATCTATTATGTGCATAGGTTTACCATATCAACAACCTGTGCAATTTTCATTCATTTAAATAAGGCCCCGGTGATTTAAATTGCATGCGGTCTTCACATTGTTTAACTCTGCTGCTATTTTGATTGAGTGCGACTTGTTATGAATTTGTGATAGCAGTTCGTTCAACTTCAGTCATTTAAAGGGATACCGAAGCGAAAGTAAATTTTTTTAGAAACTCTTTTTGATATTTATGGTTAATGTTTTTAAAAAATGTACCTGGTTGCTTTTTTTTGTTTTTTTAGACAGCGACGCAGCTTTTTTAAGTAGTTTAATTTTATAAAACAAATTTGTATTAAAAATTGATTTTTAACATCAAATTATAATATGTTTAAAATGATGCAATATCTAAGCGAGGGAAAGTAATGCACTAAAATGCTTGATGTTATTTTTATATTAAGTAGTATTAAAATTAAGTATAAACATTGCACTACTTCTAATTATTTTATAATAATTTATTTTAGATCACCAAAATGGCATCAGAAGATCCCAGTATGTCTAATATAACACCAGAAAATATTGGACAAGCTAGCTTAAACTCAGTTCAAGGACCAAGTCAAAATGCTGGAGGGATTAGTGTTCCAAGACCAGATCAAGCCTCTAGGCAAAACAATCTAAATCGCATTCAGCTACGCAAACAGCAATTTTATAATTTGCCTCAAGTGAAAAAGCTTTTAAAACTTGCTAATTATAGTGCATGTCAAATTGATCAATGTAAGTGCTCAGGATGGAAACATCCACAAGTAAGAGTACCAAAAACTGAAGCCCCTACAATACCAACATTTGGAGAGAGTTGCAGATCCTGTAGTCATACTCTAGAAAACCATGTAACACACTTGATTTCATTACCAGAAGAAACAATCAATAAGTTATTGTCGATGGTTGTTGATGTAGATAATATTTTCATGAGTATGTATGGGGAAAAAGATCAAGACACAAAAAAAGTTTATTTTTATTTATTTAAACTTTTACGTAAGAGCATTATATCCAGACAAGAACCATTGGTTGTAGATGGTCCTCTTGGTAATCCACCTTTTGAAAAGCCAAGTATTTCAAAAGCAATTACAAATTTTGTTCTTTATAAATTTGGTCATTTATCCCAAAGAGACTGGTTATCAATGCATGATTTGGCAAAAATATTTTTGCATTGCTTGAATAATTGGAATTTTGAATCTCCAAATGTTAGAAAAACAGCTACAAGCAATGAAGAAGAAGCATCAGCTTATAAAATTAATTTCACGAGATGGCTTGTATTTTGTCATGTGCCTGCCTTTTGTGATTCATTACATCACCATGACTGCACTGCTGCTTTTGGTAAAACTCTATTACAAGCTGTTTTTAAATTAGTTTGCAAGCAATTAATGGACAAATGTCACAGCGAAAAAGATAAAATGACACCAGAAAAAAGATTTCTTGTTTTAAACCATTTTCCCAGGTTAGAAATTGTCATTTTTTGTCTTTTCATTTTCAAAGTTGTAAAAATCTTTTACATGAAAATAATGTTATTTTTTACTTCAAGGTTTCTCTCGATGTTGGAAGCTGAAATTTATTCAGAAAACTCACCTATTTGGGATCCAGAATTTAAACAAACTTTACCAGCTCATTTACAAATGGTTGCAGAACCAAAGGGTAATTCAAATCGCCGACTTGCAGGTGAATTTGAAAAAGTCATAGTTGCTCCAAATGATAAAGATAATTTTACCACAATCAATTTGAGTCCTGGAGTGAAAAAACTTCTAGGTAAACGACCTCACCCAGAACCACGGCAAGAGCTTTCAAAAAGGAAAAAAGCTGAAGAAGTTTTTGAAGACTTACCTGAAGAAACAATTTTAGATATATTAGCAACCATTAAAGATCCCAATCATATGTTTGGCTTAGACGCCATATTTCCTCCTAATGCTCCCAGAGATGAAACTCCAAAATTAGAAGAAGCTAAAAAAATTATTGAATTTCACATTGTTAGAAATAGTTTAACTCAACCTGTATCAAAACAAACTATGTTATGGTTAATTGGATTACACAATGTTTTTAGTCATCAGCTTACAAGAATGCCTATGGAATATATTTCACAATTGGTTTTTGATCCGTAAGCAATGACTTTTAATATTTAATCTAAATATACTATATATCAATTGTTATTATTTTTGCATCTGTTATAATTTTACAGCAAGCATAAGACATTAGCCTTGATTAAAGATGGTAGACCTATAGGAGGAATCTGTTTCCGAATGTTTGGTAGCCAAGGTTTTACAGAAATTGTTTTTTGTGCTATGACATCAGAACAACAAGTTAAAGGATATGGAACCCATCTAATGAACATGTTGAAAGATTATCACATTAGGCATGGCATTTATCATTTCTTAACTTTTGCCGATGAGTTTGCTATTGGATATTTTAAAAAACAAGGATTTAGTAAGGAAATTAAACTACCGAAAGCAACTTATCAAGTAAATGTTTACAAATATTTTTGTTTATTCAACTTAGGTTTTTTGTTTAAAATATTGAAAACTAAAAGTTTATTCATTATCTTTTTGCAGGGTTACATTAAAGACTATGAAGGAGCAATGCTTATGCACTGTGAACTAAATTCTAAAATTGTGTATACTGAATTTACAACTGTTGTTCGTAAACAAAAAGAAATCATAAAACAACTTATTTATAAACGGCAACAAGAGATTCAGAAGATTCATCCTGGTCTAACATGCTTTAAAGAAGGAGTTCGAGGTATACCAGTGGAGTCCATTCCTGGTATACATGAAACTGGATGGAAAAATTGTACTCAAACTCGCACTCGTGGTGTAGCTAAAGGTACTCAAGGTTCTGAACCAATTGAAGCGTGCATGGATGTAGTTGACTCTTTATATAATGGATTGAAACAGGTGCTATCAAGTGTTAAGGCTCATAATTCTTCTTGGCCATTTTTGAAACCAGTTGATAAAAATGAAGTACCAGATTATTATGATCACATAAAGTATCCAATGGGTATATAATTATATTTTCGTTAATATATCTCTCATTTGAAAGTGAACGTGTAAATAATATCTAATAATTTTTTTTTCAATTTACAGATTTAAAAACTATGTCAGAACGTTTGAAATCAAGATATTATGTGACAAGGCGATTATTTATTGCAGACATGACGCGGATTTTTACCAATTGTCGCCTGTACAACGGTCCAGATACAGAATATTACTCTTGTGCTAATTCACTCGAGAAGTATTTTGTGACAAAAATGAAGGAATCCAATTTGTGGGACAAGTAGTCGAAAATTGTTCTCATCTAACATTATAAATAAGCTAGGATTTTATAAATTAGATGTAAAAGATAATTTTTTTGACAATGCATGAACATCTGTCAAATGAAAAATTTGATTTATTGCTTTGTAGTTTAGTATAATTAATAATAAAATGAATAGTATTCATTGTATGTTTAGGAAAGTGACAAAAATATGTTTATGTGGATATTAAACACTAATTTATTAGCATTATTAATCTTTTCAAGGATTCTCATTGAATATTACAAATACTTTATTGCATGAGAAAAAAAAGCTTTTTAATGAACTAAAACTTTTCCAAATATTTCACGATTAAACAAATTGAAACATTTATAGAAACAGTTTCAATTTCATCTTAATTTTATCATAAGAAAATAAATGTCATCAAATAATTTGAACGTGAATTATTAATAAACGTTCATTTTTATAATAAATTGTATATAAAAAAATTGACCCGATAATTTTGTAAATATATTTCGTTTTGAGCAGAATTTTAAAAGAAAAAATTTAAAATTAATTTTCGTAGAAAGTAATATTTATCTATCAAATTCTCTCTTACAGATGTTACATTATTCAAATGTATTTAAAAAATATATTTTTTAATTAAATATACTTCAGTTTTTTAATACTGTGAAACTAAATGGATATGATTCAATGGTATATTGTTCTAAACTTTTATTTTTTAAGTCATCGTTAGCTGAAGTACTGTAATAAATATTGCATTTATAAATGCACACTTAAAATCATAAAGATTCAATCATTTCTATCATAAACAGCCAATAAAATTTCCTTCATAAGAAACTTTTAATTCAATTGAGTTTTTACATAAAAACTTTCATTAATTGCTTTTGCTGTTATTAATAATTACTTTTAGCTACTTGGAAAGGAATATGAAGAAAACAATTCAAATAGTAAAATAAATAAGAATATATTACATTTTCAATTAATTCAATATATAAAGTCAATATTTTAATTCACATTTCTAAAAATAACATGATTTTTCAAATTGATTTATAGCAACTCTTTTATCATGGTTTCTGAAAGAAAGTACACATGTATGTCCTGCAGATGTCAAGAAAAATTACATTTGAATTTTATTTTTCAATTGCAATAACTCAAGGTGTCCATTTTTTTCAGTTTACATATAAATAAAACAATATTTAAAAATGCATTATGTCACCATACTCTGAGCTTGACTATTTGTTTTACATGCACAAATTTTAAATTATTTTTTTGTATACTCAACACATCGAGATGGATCAGTTGGATAGTACTCTTGACATTTTGTCATAAGCCTTTTCAATGCCTGAATATATTTCCGTTGAGTTTCGTCATTCATTACATGAGCTACATTTTTTGAGAAAATTTTTTCTCTACCAGTACGAGCGTGAATACCAACCATGGTAACACCTATAGGCCATGGAGAGTTACCTATCGCCATTTGAAGATATGCGTCACTTGCATAGATATAGTTTCTTTCTAATAATCTTTTAACAATATCTGTCAAACTGTCTGTTATATCTTCAGGTAGGTTCTTTTTTTTTAACTTTCTGATTAATGGCTTTAAATACTCTCTTGTTTGTGCATAAATAGCGCCATCCATTTTTCCTTTGGTGCTCATTTTTTCTGCTCCTGATCGACTATTCAACTGATGACCCCACATTTTGACAAGAAATTGTAAAAACGTCATAATTATGTGCATGTCTGTCTCTCTTCCTTTTCTTTGAAAATCTTCAGCCATTTTTTGAATATCTTCATACGTTACTTCTTCTTCAGAAATGTAAACGTCATCTTTTCTTTTATGTTCTTCTTGTGGTTTAGATGATTCTAATAGTTCATCAAGATAAGCTTGATCTACTTGTTCCATAGCTTCTTGGAAATCATTTCTGAGTCCTTTGTTAACTTCAGGTTCAAGTATTTCACATCTGCGTAGCCTTTTGAAAGAATCAGTTTCTGATTCACCAAATAGGGTTATTGGTTGACCTCTTTCTCTGAGTTTGCGAATAACTTCAGTTCTGGGCAAGGTATTTTGTGAATTGTCTTTTATCATGTTCTCTGTATCCGTGGTGTTGTCACTGCACTCTGTGCTATTTGTAGAGTTAACATTGCTAGGAATTTTCACTTTTACAGCATCCAGATCTCCTCTTCTAAAGTATTTTTTATTATTTGTCAGTAAGTTTTTATCTTCGAGTTCTTTCCGTTTCTTTGCTATTTCGGCCCTGAGAATATCCATGCTGAATGCTAAGTAAATGAATTTAATTTAATACTGTATCAATTGATGGTTGATTTAAATTATAAATACAAAATTCAACCCTAATGTACAGTGTACACTTGGATTCAATGGTATACGTTGTGACACGGGCGACTGGCGTTTGACGACTGAATGCAATGATGATATAGCAGTAGGATAGCACATGTTGTATTTAGAGTTTACACACAAATCGGAGGAGGGAGATGACGCGTCACGCGGCTGTCGAAGTATCAGAACTTCGTTTGTAGACGTTCCACGCATAATGGACATAGCTATATTGAACTATGAGATGAGACAAATTATGTTTAAATATTTATAATTGTAATTATAATGGTAACCACATTATTATTTATAAAAATTTATAATAATATTTTTGTAATAATTATAAAGTGCTTAAAGAATGTATAGGGTAAAGTGGACATTTACGTGCCACCAAAGAAAAATTTTAACTTTGCTTACTTATAGAAATTGTATTAACTATTTACGTTGCAAAAAATGTAAACTTTAAAATAAATAATTACACTTCATAAAAAAATGCTAATAATATTTCTTAAGAAATTATTAAAGCAAAAAAATGCTCAAATTAACTATGTGATAGGGCACGGATTACTTTACTGAGCTATTAGTGACCTTGAACTCAGAGCTCAATTATATTTTTATTTTTGAATCCTAAAAACTTAAAAAATGAAATACGTGCTTCGAAATGTACGAGGAAACTTCTATCGGCAAAAACTTTTCGCTTTATCTCCTGATGAATAACAAGTACAGTTTTTATTTTCCGATAGCTGCACCATCTTCCAACTCTTTGAAAAAGCTCGCCGCTCAAGCTCTTCAAAAGGTTGTCTCCACACTTGAAAAACCCATAGCCAAGACAATAGTATCACCGCCACGTGTTGCCATGGCATGACATTCATTGCTTGCCTATAAGCGTTTTTTTCTAGTAAAGTTCTTTCTCATTCATATCTGTAACTGTTCTATATCTGTCAATGCAGCTAGAACGTGTATAGTTGTTAAAGTGAAGTTAAAGAAAGTTGGAAAACCCGATAAATTAGAGTAAATGTTTTATCTGTAGAACGTTACTATCCTCCTTTTTATTTTCAAAATTTCCATAGAATTTCAGAATAATGAAATGTCATTTTTTATAGACTCAAGTTCTTCAGTGCAAACGGATTGAACTACAAGTAAAATATAATACAAACTTTGCTTCATTATATATGTCACTATCACTTGCAATAATTTTCAACCTCAAAAGCTTTGGGTGAATCGTAACAATTCTAGGAGCTCTTTATGCCAAAATTTTTCATTAGTTTTTCTAAAATCGATGTTAGTTTTGAAATTGTACAAATTTAACGAAAACAGTTTTAAAATTTCTGTAATTTGAAAATCTGAAAGTATATTGACAAAATGTCATCAAAATTCAACGAAATTGAGTATTCGATACGCAAGGTGAAAAGAGATGATTTTTCCGCTATAAATACTTTGTTAGAAAGGTACTTTCATCCCGAGGAGACTATTCTCAAGTGCCTTTTGTCGCTCGAATCCATCGAGGCATCGAGATGGCAGCAAATAAACACAGACCAGCGCAACATAATCCAAGCCATGCTGCAGAATCATCCCTGCGACGTAGTCGTTCACAACGAATCTAAAAAAATCGTCGCCGTAAACATCATGATCGTCAGTGAAAATCCAAGCTCGCCACCGTCTCAAGAACCGATCGTCGATGTTTACCAGACTCATGCTCCGAAAGATCGACTAATGGTCGATTATTTTCGCTACATGAACGACATGATCGAGCAGGCTGAGATCTTCACCAAATTCTCGGAGGCGAAGCGAGCTTTGGAATTTTACGCCGTCGCAGTGGACGCGAATCATCGTCGCAAAGGCTTGTCAACCGCTCTCATGAGTCAGGGCCTCGAGTACGCTAAGAAAAACGAGATCGATGTGGTTTTTGGCCTGTTCACGTCTCCGTACTCCAAAAGAGCCGCCGAGAAAATTGGATTGAAAAATATTTTCCAGCTCGACCTTCTCGAGTACTCTCCTGTCGGCGAGGAAAATCGAGGACTGTTCAAAAATTCCGTGCCTCACAATTACGCTTCGATCATGGCTATTTCAACTTAAATAAAATTCTTGTTAATTACTTTGTATCAAAGACATAATTTATTCTACCGAGTTTCGTAGTATTTACTCAATATTTGCTAGTTTTCTTTTATTTTGTATTACTAACAATCGTATTATAAAATAAGTAAATATACCTTTGTCTAGATCAGGTATAAGTCCAAACGTCTGGAATAACATGTATTACGATCAGCGCCTGTAATAACGTGATGTAAGCGCGAATAAGCTTCAAAGTAACGCTCGAGTATAGCCCGGCAGAATATAAATGAATATAACAGATGTTATTGCCGCTTCATTTACCAATTACGCTCGTCGGTGCTCAGCGCGAAGACCGCTCACACCTCGAATCTAACTGATTTTGAATTTTGAACACACGCATCTTTTATCTTATCATCAGTGAATTATAATCTACCAAAAGTGTGTAACATAGTGTAAGACACAGAGCCCGATCGGCACGAGTATATCGGCCCCTTGAAATTCGAGTAAATAGAAAAACTTTTCTAGATTCTCTAGACATATTGAAAAGTACCTGCCTGTACTTAGTCGTCACGCGCGATCGAGAGTGTGTAAGTGCGGTGTGCATAATTAGTGCAAAAGTGTAATTATACTCGAGTGAAAAAATGTCGAGGGGCGATTGGACGGAAGAGTACGAGATGCGCGAGGCCCAAACGGACGACATGCCGGCCATCCTGACCTTCGTGAAAAACAACTTCGACTGGAGAGAGACGATGCTGCGCTTCGCGCGCCAGTCCCTCGTCGATCCGACTCAGATGAACAAGGCGCGATTTCAGCAGATGGACCTGGACCTGACCAACTTCGTCGAGGTGATGGTCCGTTGCCATAGCTGTCAGTTGTTCATTCACAAGGCCAGCAAGGAGATCGTCCTGTTCAACGCGCGCATCATTCACCAGGGCCCGACTCTGCAGGAGTTCCTGGAGGACGACTCCTGCACCAGCACCAAGCTCACCACCGACCTGCCCCAGCCGAGGGATCCGCTCTTCAAGGCCTTCTTCCAATTCACCCGGGACACGATCAGGAACGCCAAAATCTTCCAGAGCTTTCCCAGACTCGACCGGGCCATCGAGTTCGTCGCGGTGGTGGTGCACCTTCAGCACAGGCGCAAAGGCCTGGCCTTCAACTCCATCAGGGAGAGCATCAGGTACTCGCAAAAAAACAACTGCGGTGTGATGTTCGGTCTGTTCACTACCAAATACGCCAAACGGTCGGCCGAGAACGCGGGCTTGGTCGAGATCCACCAAGTGGAAAATATCCTAGATTACAAGGACGAGACGGGCGAGAAAGTATTCGAAAATTTGCCCGCGGACAGCGACATTAACATTATGGCGATAACCGTTGATCACGCCTGCGATAAGCATAATATACACTAGATTACGACTATTGTCAGACGATATTTTTAATTTTTTTATTGCAGAAATCTCCTTTTCCCGCCATGTCTTTCTCGTTTTAGGATTATAATTGTAAAGTTAAAGTTACTAGAGCAGAGTCTGGTACGTTAGATGAGCAAGATAAACGACCTTGATTATTTGGCGTCTTGTAAATACGAAATTGTAGCTATTAATAATCTCTTTCTCATTGTCCTTCAAGTATTTTTTCAATGAACGGCACAGATCTCATGTATTTATAGTAATCAGACTTGTATTTACAGTTTCCCATGAATTCTTTGACAATAACAATTCTTGGTCGTTTTGTTATGATGTGATCGATATGACTTTTAAACTGAAACTGAAAGAAATGTCTTATTTTTAAATAAATATATTACAAAACAAAATAATTTTCGTTCGGTTGTTTATTAAATATAGAAACGTAATTGTCAATAATTATAATAGATCATTTAACTAAGCTTCATTATGTCTTATTAATGTACTCACGTTATTAAACGCTCACACCATTCAAGTAAAGACGGTTAATTGCGTTTTATTTTTTTTATGTCGGGTTAGTGACTATATTTCAATCATTAAAGTTTAGTGTCATTTTGTTTTCGCTTAAATTTAATTAATCGTGTGAAAAAGTGAACTATTTAATTATTTGTGAAAGTAGTTCGTTAATAATCTATTACTCATATTATAATTAATTAATTGACCATTTGTATTGCAATACACTTATCATCTTGACTATTTAATGTTTTCAAAAGGAAAACCACCGTAGAATAAAACTAATGAATTTTGAAAAAACGATACAAAAACTACAGCCCCTCAAGCAAGTTAATGGAAAATTTTTCATTTGTGCGTACGTGCACACATCAAATTTAAAATAATCCTGTACATAAAATACACGTTTTCAAAAAATATGGCAAAAAATGGTTATCACAGGATATGGCAAATAATAGTAAGCGTGAGGAGGCTGAAAGATCTGCTACGAACGTTAGTAATCGAAGAGATGTGAGATCAAGTAGCTGCTCATAAGAAATCAGGTATTTATTAAGACTTATGCTAATTTTAGCAACCTGGGTATTTAATAAATTCACTCATTGATGCTTCACTCAATTATTTTATGATTCACAATGCAACCCAATTTTAATTTATATGAGCCGAGGACAAGCATGTGAACGATTATGTAACTTATATTGAAGAAAACTATGCTGTATTTCATTGACATATACACTTTTATTTATTATACTGTAATAATTAGGATTATATACATATTATAGAATATTTAAGGCTGATTTGAAATTAGAGTGAAAATTAAATTAACTGATTAATGAACGGAAAAATAATCATGATCAGAGAATTCCTTTGTTACATGTGACGTTGAATTTTGAACCTAGAATTGGTTTGTCTACCAACTGGTAAAAAACAATTCATTTCCATTAAAAATTATTCAATGATTTTATTACATATTTTTCTTACACAGAGCCTTTCTTATTGAGAAAGGTTTTCATTTGTTAAGTCAAATTATTACATCGGACGGTCAATTACACAGTAATTACACCAATCGCTTAATTTTACATGCACGCGCATCGAGAAATTTATGGAGTTTGCATGAAATTCGAATAAATATAACCTAAATAAATTGATTCTAAATACATAATGTTAATGGCGATTCATAATATCGTTATCGACATTTTTTTCCATGTAATACACTCATTTTACACCCTACTTTTCCTCTCTTTCTCGCTCTCTTTATATTACTTTCAATCTTTAAAAAACCATAAATAAATCAGTATTAACTGGTGTATATTATTTGTAAAAAATAATATACCTATATTTATATATTTACATACTTGAACCTGACAGTAACATCACAGCATCCTGTCTAACAGAATTCATATATTTATAATCATATTTACTATTCTATCTATACATAATACATAAATACTATATATTTTTCATCTAATTCATTCTTTACAGGCCCACATTTATTTATTTTAGTCACATATTTCACAAGTTAACAATTACGTGAATTTTCTTTAATGATAAAATTGAAGCTTGAGCAATTATAGAGATTTCAGAATTATTTCTCTCTCATATCATTATCATTTAAAATAGTATATTGCGGACCTAAGGAGGTACAAAATAAAATGTTTTAAATCACATTGAAATTATAAACCTCAAATTTGTTTCGGTTAATGAATATGTGTTATAAACCATTCTTTTTTATTTCACCTTAGTGCATATACTTTTTTTCTGGACACCCTTCACTGAAAATAAAATTTTCGTTACACCTGTCGGGTCGAAAATATTACTCTCGATTGGGGTATCAAGAAATAAGAAATAATTTTATACGATTATTGACTGAAATTTAAGATGAACAGAGAACATTATTGAGTGATAGTTACATTCATTCAGCATAGCAGATATTAAAACAATATTTGATATTGATTACAAATAATTAATAGTACAGAAAGCTCAACACATACTCCAATGTGAAATTTCAATTTAAAGATTATATCCGAAAAAATTACTTTTATAAGATTTTTTTTAAATTCGGAGGTGTATTGTGATTGGTACAAAAATGATCTCCAAGTATTAAAAAAATCTACTGTATTGTTTACAAGAAGTTTCTCTATCTCATACATGACAATTTCTATTTTATGAACCTGGTGGTAGATTTTTTAAATTTGGAAAACATCTCTTTACTAATAAAAAATACGATAATTTACCGCAAATATCATGAAAATCATATGGAATCATGTTTATCGATGTAATACTTTAATATATGAAATGATGAAGAAAATTCTCGAGTTTAGAGCTGTTTCACGCAAAATGTAGTTTTGCTCTTTAATAAATAATTTTTTTCGTTAAAAGAATTCAATTTACAAATTTTTGTCCATAGATATTAAATCCATACACATATCATATATATATAATTTATTTCTACATTTATACAATAATTTCTTTTACTCAATAGTTATACTTCTTTTAGCTATATGAGAAAATTCGCAGACATTAATCAATGTTATCTTTTGTGTAATGATAATTTACCAAATATTATGAAACTTACAATATATATTATTTTATGAATATTAATCATAATTAATACTCATACAAATTTGTCACAGTATAAAATGATAAAACGTTAATCTTGGTTGCAATATTCAATAAAATTAGTTAATATCAGCCTACAGTTTTCAATGACACTTCAATAAATGTCTTAATCACAAAATGAGCATCCAAAGAAAATCGAATTGAATTCATAATCATGTATTGCATTCAATTATTTTGTTCAGAAAAAAAATCAAAAAGTATAGGGCTATTTAAAATAAAAGTTCATCTTTGGTGCCCTTTTATATCTTGCCACAATGCACTTTATATAAATAAAAGATTATAGCTATAAACACCATAATCTATTTTGGTGTAAATTCAAAAGTTTCTTATTAATTTAAAATCACTTATACACTTTTCACACTAAAGTTTATCTTCTTGACTTTTTTCTTCTGTTGCTTAATCTTTTGTTCCTTCGAATCTTTGATTTAGCGTTGATGAACCAAGGTAAAGAAAATATGCTAAAAACGATAGTTATTTAATAAAATTTGCTATTGTTGATTAATTCATATTTCTCATGAAAAAATCTAACTAGATAGCAATGAAAATTTACCAAAGTCATTAGACATGTACTTTTTGTTTTTCAATTATTAAGTTATTAAAAGAGGTACTAGGCTTCGTACAAAACTGCAACTATCAAACAAAATTTTTTGTGCTGGTCACGATTTGACATTCATTTTAAAAATGCCCTAATAACTGATCAATTGAAAAAAAAATCTGAACCTAATGATTTTGATAAATCTACATTGCAGATCTAATAGATTTTTTTTATGAGAAATGTGTATTTATCTTGGAGTACATTAAAATAGTTTTCATATATTACCTTGCTGTATAACATGGAATTGAGGATCCAAATGCAGAAACAGGTATATAGTCGTCAACTTGAATGCTTTGCAGTTGATCTATTTCAGGCCATAAAGTTGTTACATTATTTTCCTCCGTGGCTGATAAACATGGTCCACTATGATTTAAATTGAGACATGCAGCGTGATGGTTTTGTTTTTCTTGTCTTTGTTTCAATTTTTCAATATGCCTTTGCTCTCTAAAAAAATGAAAATGTACTCAATGTATAACTAATTGAAGTATTTTTTTATAAATATATAATCATTACCTTATTCGTTGAACATCCCATCTTTTTCTTCTTCTTTCATCATTTTCTAATTTTAGATGTCGTTTATTAAAAATTTCATCATCTAAGTTTTCAGTTCCTTCCATGGTATAACAACTTGTATAAACCTTAACTCTCCAGTTTGGGACTTCCAAGTTACTAGAAGTGGTATCTTCAGGGGATACTCTACTTTTCAGACATAAGGAGTAATTAGGTTCTCCTACGGCTGTGTAATATGGTTCTTCAGAAGTTAGAAATGATTCTCTTTTTGTCAAAGATTTTCCTTTTTTTTCTAACTTTCTTAAAACTTCAAAATTAGGCCCTTTACCTCCCTAAAATATTTTATAAAATTGTATAAATTTATAATATTTCATCAGCATATATCTTGATTAATATTTTATACTTACAAAAGATTCGGGCACTGTAGACATAGTATCATTGCTGATTGTAGAAGAGCTTGATATGCCTCTTTTTCTTTTGGCACAATTATTTACAGCTGTCAACTCAGATTTTCTTCTTTTTTTACTATCCCAGGCTTCCTCGTTGGATTCTTGCTTGCAGTCAAGCTTGTCTGGAGATTCTTGTTTTACAGGTGTAATGCCGCCACTTGAACTTAATCTAAATTTAAAACTTTCATTGTGTTGAGAACTTATACATTCAACTAGATTGGAATCTTTGTTACGATCACTTTTTGAAGGAAGACTATTGGGAGATGCGTTCAGATGTGGCGGCGAACAAGGACCTGACTGATCATTTGCATTTTCAGAACTGTCAGATCGCATTTTTTGTAAATTAACTCGTCTGTCCATGCGTTCCAAACGCATTTTAAGCTGAAATGAAATTAAAAAATGTTAGAATTATCATTCGTTAAACATTTTCCAAATGCTTGTACTTCATCCAACTTATGGCATCGATTTTGATAAAATTTTTTAATTTAATAAGAATTGTCATATTATTGAAGTACTTTTGACATTACAGCAACCTATACCTAACCTAAAATATTATAGTACTGCAAACAAAATAGAGGCTAGTTTTGAAAGAGAAAATAAAAAAATGACATTCATACAGGGCGTAATGCTGATAAAAACGGCATCTTGGCTTTTCAGTGATTTTTAGATCTTTTGTGATTATTATCAGCAATCTTTGAATTTGCGCGCCGCCTCATATTATCACTGATACTGCCATCTGGTCTCTTAGTGTAAGGTTGTGGGGTTACTGGACATTGTAACCTTGGCTACCTGCAACCATCATCTCATATCTGTTTCCCTTCAACTTTGATTTTACTTGTTACACTTGACAAAAAACCATGTGATTTTTTCTGCTTCGTCATTAAGAAAACGACAACACCATGATTTATCACTAATTTGACACGATATATTGACACAAAACTCAAGGATTAATGAACATTTACTGTCACTAAAAAATTTACTAAAAATGTAAACTATTAAAATGAAATGAACCGGCTTGTATCGAATGTTGTGTAAACTAACAAACACACGCTTTGATGATTACATTGAACTAGCCTGAAGCGACATCTGGCCCGCCTTTTTCGTAAACCTTTAAAGTGGCGTTGAGCTCATATGAGAATATAAAACTTTGAGTTTTTTCCCCCTCCTTATTTGCTATCTAATATAGATGTATACGTGTATGTTATATACATATATGTGATGTGCTTGTGCGTATTACTATAAGACATTCAATTCTTTGACAGCACAAAATGTAAATACTGTGTAGTAAGGTTAGAATTAATTGCAATGACATATAAGCTAGTATATAAGCAAAGCCCCTAATCACTAAGTCTATCTTTTGAGTCGTTGCAGAATGCCTGATAGTACAACAATATTTGGATAAATATGAATTTTATATAATGTATAAGCTTGTATAGCTTGTACAATTTTAACTATGTAATAACTATTTGTGTAATTTGTAATTGCAATTTATAAAGCACAAAACTGATAAAAATAAATTATTTATTGCTTATTTAAAATTTTTTAAGTAAAATTTGACTTACATTTTCATTTTCTTGCCGGAGGGCTGTCAATAATTTATCTTTCGTAACTATTTGTTCAGATTGTTGTTGAATCAAGTCCAAATGAAGAAGAAGAAGTTCTTTCAAATGTTTAACTTCAATCAAACTATTATGTCGAGTTTCAGTGTCTTTTAAAGAACCACTTCCTAGAGCTGATGTTGCTGTGGATGATTCTCCGTCTATCATACTGGCATACATGTGATCGAAATCACAAGGATATCCAAGTATGCTGACAACTTTTCTGTTGTCCGAAATAATAGTATTATTTTTATCTTTACTTTTCAGCTCTTTTATCTTTGAGCTCACTGTCGTCAAACGTACACTATTTGTTGTCGACGATGCTGTAAGATGTTCATTCATCGCCGCAACCATGTTGTTAACAACAACTTCTCCTTTAGTTTCCTCTTCAACTTTGGCTAGGTAAAGTGATAAAATCAGAGAGTTAGTATAAGAATGAATAAAATATTAAATTTTATAAATTTAATTTATGAGTTGATAAAAATATTTTGGTAATTGTATACATAAAATTTTGATATACTGAAACTTGAATCAAGTTCATTGTTAATATTTTGAGATAAATAAAATATGATTTCTAGGGTTAGGTGTCTAGAGTGCAATGCGTTTACAAAGCAGTGGATAGACATGAAATTTCTTAATTTCAAATTCTCAATAAAATCTTACATTTTGAATTCTTATTGAGAAGAATTGCATCTTCCAAAAAGTCGAGCTGGTTAAGCTTACATCAAATTTTGCGATCGACTCTGAAGCGCACGCTCGAAAATGAAATGCTAAGTGATGATCTAGTGGTTGCTGTCATGTTGACAACAAGAAAACGTTAGCACACATCCATTCAAGTATTAATGAATGAAAATGTCAAAACAGGTATTTATTTTGGACTCATTAAGCGTTTGTGTTTATCTTATGTTTTGATGTAGATGTAGCCAGTTGAAAAACTAAGCAGCTGATTCGGAATTTATGTCAAAGATGATTTATATACATAGCCTACTTTATCACTCGTAGGTAAGTTTAATTTCAACTCGGATCTGCCAAATTGAATTTTAAATACGAAAAAAACTTGGATGGATACAGCAATATTGGTGTACCAAGACAGATTTTTCCATAAATTAATTCTATTTTCGGGAAAATTTTTTTTTTAGAGTAGTCATCTTGAAACTTGAAATATAAAAATAATCAAAACGCTTTGTCTTTGCAAGTTAACCTATGGCTGTCTACCGAGTAGCCCAAAGGAAGCACTATGTAACATTATTGCATCAATTGCATTTCAATATAGTTGTATCTATTAAAATGGTAATATTTACTGAAATTACTCGGTCGGTGGATCGTAAATAATGACTATAACCAAAGCATTCATAAAATGTGGCATGTCATAATTGAACTAACGGATTGAATGAATCCATTGCCTTTGACGTTTTTTCCTTAGCACGAACTACTTTGACGTACAGATCATCGATGACAGCGACATATAGGATTCAAGTGTTTGGGAGCATATTTTTGAACGTTTTCATACGAGTATAATTCGTAGGAAAATTAAAAGTAAATAAACAAATGCAGGCGTCAGAGTAAATAATATTCAAGACGAATGCTAACATTGATAATTCATACCGTGAGAGAGCCTGGCAGCGTTGCGCTGCCTCTGAGTACTCGAGACGACGCCGTCCAGCGGAGCCCTTGACTTTTTATGCGAAGACACTGGCAGCACTGGAGCCGGCGCTATCGCATCACTGGTCGTTACTTCACCGTTCAACACTTTGTTATGCAGCAACTGCTGCTGCTGCTGCTGCTGTTGTTGAGGCGAGGGTGATCGATGCTTGGGTAGTTGTTGTTGTTGTTGCTGCTGCTGTTGAGCAGCCGGCGACGACGACATGCTATCGGCCGCCGCCGGCAGCAGCGGCACGGCCCGTAGCCTGCCGCTCCGTAGCTGCTGCTGCTGGTTTTCTTGTTGACGCCCAGCATCCACATCCAAGCGGCTTGACTTGCCGGCCCCGATGCCTCCGGCTTGTTGGAACAATCGACAACAAACAACAGACGCGCGAGATTTCAGCGACAATCGAGTATCGAGCTAGCGCGAAAGAACGGCCAAGGTCGCTGGTAGGAGCACTTGTGCGTGGCGCGTACGACGTAGCGTGTTGCGGGCGGCAGAAGCCTGTGCTGCTGCTGCAGGCTCGCGTCGACTCGTGTCGCGAGTTCGGAGTCTGACTCTTTTTTACGATAGGTACGAGTAGTATCCTGTATACCTATAGGTATATGCGTCGAGTGGGTAGACGAAAGGACGCGCAGGATGCCGAGCTGGGCCTAGGGGTTTCAGGATCGCCGCTGATTCCGTCTACATGGCGCTATGCATTATGCACCGACAATACTATCGCGCACAATCGAACGTTGATAAACGCATTACGCGTCGCGAGTACACTTCACAATTATGATCGAACGCCCACATGTATAGGTGCTCGAAGATGCTACGTAGTTGTACGCGTTTGTGTATATGTCGTGGCTTGGGCTGTTTTGTACACCTCACTGTAAACTCCGATAGTCGGTACACACACGCGTGGTATAGGTATAACGGAAAACAAGCGAGTGTCGACTTACTGACGCTGTACGCGTGTATATGTGTGTAACGCGACGGTAAGTACACAGACTGTACACGCAGCAAGTTCGCATACATTCGAACGACGACTCGAGAAGTCTAGCCGCTGCCCGAGCCCTGCGGTCTGCGGAATGACGCGCGCACGATTATATACGTGTGCGCCAGAAACGACAAACCGATAACTTCGTGCATTTAATGTGTATGCGACTCTGAATTGCGAGTAAGCGTGTATGCACGATTGATGATTGTGTTATAATATGCGACGTTTGGCGAGAAACCACTTGCTATCGAGAGGATTTGACAATAGCCAACGCCGGACACTGGACGTCGATACGTTCGTTGTGCGCACGTTATCCGTACCAATACGTAACAAAGTAACGTTACGCTTTTTTATTATAGATCTTTGGTAATGTTCTTTTGGCGACCCGAATTCCGAAACATAGTCACCCTTATTTTTCGGGGTAAACCCATTACCCAGCTGCACGCAGTCTACAGTTGTCGCTTGTGGTGCCAAGCGCACTTTATGCATCTTTTTCCTAACCCCTGTTTTCTGCGGCAATCGCGAGCTAGATTGATTCGCGCCTTACATTCAAGTGTCTGCGATATCATTATCAATCACGAAGTCGTTTCATTTTCACTACTTTGACTAATAAACAATACTATTAAACTTTGAATTTTCTTTTCATATAAGATTGAGGAAAGAATCAATGATAAAACATTTTGAATTTGGAGAGATTTAGAATATCGTGTTAATAGTTTAAAAGTTTTGTGCACGTCCGTTATTGATGCGTTTAACACAAATGCAATTCATTAAAAATTAGGTTATAAATAATCGCGTAGAAGTTGTTGTGAATTAAATTGTATTTTATCAAATCAACCCGTTTGATTGAATAAGTTGTAGCGTAAATCGATAAAGTAATTGAAGAGCTTAGTTTTATTTGGCCGTTGTAATATTGCTTTGAAAACTGAAGTATTCGAGACAACGGAATTTTATCTCTCACGCTTTTGGTCGTAACAACGAAATGGAACGTTTGAAACATCCCGAGCTACACGTTATAGGGTGAGTAGGAAAAACACATTCTAATTTCTTGCATTGCGTGAAAAAATGAGAGCCGCTTGTCAACGGTCGAGCGAAGGAGTATTGCGCATCCGCGAGAAGCTCTCGTAAATGTTTTAAAGTCAGCTCGACTCTATAGGTATACAGTGAACAGTCGTTAGTTTTCAGATACGATGATAGCATGGGACGAATAAACATGAGAATTAAAGTTGCTCCGATTTGAAATAATGAGGAAACATCTCGACACGTATACGGGTGCACGCGCGGGCATGACTTTTGATTCGTACGTCGAAAGGTAGCAACGCAACCACCGCACAAGTGCTCTAACACTGTATATATATAAATTAAAATATATGTTTGTATACACAGTAGACATGCGTGCGTGTGTACGTGCGAGCGTGTAGGTGGAAAAACATGCACTTGTGTGGGTCAGGGGTGTGCATATAACATTGTAATGACAAGTTGGAATATATACAATCGTCGTGCTGTTGTTGACGGCTCCTCGTTGTCGGCGAGCCGAGCCTCGTCCTTCTCCACGTCAGGATAGTCGTCGTGATGGTTTTGAGCTTACGAGCCGACCACTTGGTACGATGCTACGACGTCAGCGAAGGAGAGAGAGAACGAGAGAGGGAGGCGGAGAGTCAGCAGCCAAAGCTCGCAGATGCCCGCGGTACTCGTGTGCACGGCAGTCACGAGGGTGCACGTACAACAGGCGCGCACACACAACTGACACACTCGCGCGCGTACTATTATCACTCGTCGCGGTGGAAACTTTAATTCTTGCGGCCGATTTGCCGCTTTTGCTCGCGAGCTTCCATACGACTCGCGACAAAGGCGTTCGCTGCTCGTCTCTTTTTTTTCGATCGATGCCAATCGCCTACTTATATACAGCGAATCCTCGTCTCTATACCTCTCGCGGCCGCGCCAAGGATCGAATCGAGCGCGTAGGACGACACTTTCGATTGCACTGCCTAATCGTTCATGTCTCGAGCATGTGTAAGAAACGCGTGTCTAGTCCGACGCTCTATTATAAACCGTAAAGCACGAGTCGCGATTTTGGTTGGAAGGGTGAAGTATCAGATGAACGAGCCCGAATCGAGCTTACGATGAAAAACGCCCCCTATTGCGCCTCCATAAAGCTGGACGTAGTACAGCGAGCACTGCTGATGTCGGTCTGCGCTGCGCACTCGGCTGCGGGGGTGGGGGAGGCTCGGGTCAAGCTCTGCAATAGTCAATGGGTAGCTGAACCGAGGCAGTGCAGTACCCCTGCAGGCTCTACATAAATATAAGAAACTTATGCTCGAATTAATGCTATCGACCCTTCTGGACTCTAAAAAAATTTAAATCATTTGGCTCAGACTTGTACTGTTGTCCTTTTACTTGAACGATTCATTCGTTCGTGGAGTCGGCAACTTAATCAACTTGACATACGCCAATCGAGCCGAGCTTTAAACGCGCGGGAACGTTCAAAGCTCGCCGTTCTGTAGAGCCACGTGCTCTTTTGCTCTCTCTTGCGCTATCTTTACCCGTGAGACACTTTTCTTTCCTTTCAACGAGCTCTTGAGCAACGAGCTTTGATTCGCCTAATGCATAGAGTATTTCTTCAAATTTAGACCCTAAATATATTGTGATTTATTAGTGATTTATTATAACAAGCAGATCACGTCTATTAAGTTATACCTAATGAATAATCGCACCAATTTTTGCGGATGATTTTATTCTATCTAAAATTAGCATTAGATATTACAATTTATACGTATTATCAAAGAATAAGTGAAAACCATCAAAGCTTTGACATTTATTAATGGAGTATTAAGTATATTAATAAAATAAAGACATGTCATTAAAAGAGATTATTTTTGGATATTTTTGGAAGATTTTGTTTATTTGATTAACAACAATATACGCAATTTCATATTCATATATCAGCATCAAAAAGTCTATGGAGTCGCAACTTATAATCTACGGTATGTGATCCTCAACGATAAAGAAACACAATTGATTACGCGTGTTTTCATTCAACAAGTCTGTACGCATCGAATAACATTATACACTTGAAATGGTATTAAAAACAACATGTCGTAACTAACAATGTGCATTCAGTATCGTATTTTATTTTAAATGTAAAACAACGTATTGTTATTATGTAAAAAATATAGTATACATTTAATCATGATTGGTTTCGTAGAATCGTCAACATAGCATTGCATAATATACATTCCGTGCGTATTATTCGGACCAATAAATGATTTTTTTCTACCGGTCTCAATTATAAAAAAGACGTCGTAAAAATATCTTTAAATCTAAATGATTTTACATTAGTGCGATTACACAATAAAATATGCGCATAAAACTTCAATTCAACTTATGGATTAATCAACGTTGTAATTGACCAAACAAAACTTATGGAATAAACGAATTTTTATAAAAAAATTTCAATTTAGCCAATAGTAGAGATTTTGTTTGATTTTCGTCACGGGCACTTTTTACGCAAAGTCAAATTAACAACTTCGACAATCATGCGGCAATGAACTTTTGAATGTTTCTGCGCTGATTTTGTGCCGAAGAAATGTAGCATGGAATTGAAATTCCAACAAGGCACACATTTTCGTTTGAAATTTTCAGTGCTTCAAGTTTATTTAAAAATCTTTTTAATACACGATATGCTGGTCACTTTAAACATTATTCATAATTTTTACTTAATAATATTGGGTTTGAACTGTCAGGCTATAGTAATAAGTTCAATCCAAAATCTCTACAAATCGCTTTGAATTCACAAAACAAAAATTAAGCCTCTTGGCTAATTTTTTTTCCTTTTTGACACTACTTAAATATTTATAAATACTTTTTTTCTGCGTTTCAAGTTTAAGTATACTAGTTTTAAAGTATCCACAAGGAAAAAATAGTATTCAATCGTAAACTAGTCAATCTGGTTGCAGCTTTTTAATACATTTTAATTTATGTTACGAAAAATTTGAATATTTCGAATGTAGAGTTCACTGACGATGAAAAAAAAATTAATTTAGCATTGTTAAACGAATTTAATTTTAGCAATAAAAATTGCGTAACATTTAGAGACGACAACGAAGACGAAGACAGTCTAAGACTGTAGCTTTTTACGATTTTGTTGCAAACCACTCAACTTTGGCTTGCATATCTCTCCGGGAGATGTATATATTTTGTTCAGTTTCGTTCAATAATGGTCAGAGCACTAGACATATAGAAATAGAATATTTTTTTTATTTAACTATACAACAGAGTTAGTCTAACATTGGATATATTTACAATTATTATGACACGGATACTTTTAAAATATTTACGGCACGTAATAAAATATTCAACTAATTTCTTTTTATTCTCTTTCAAAATCTTTCTTATTTAGGATACCCGCCATAGAATTCGTAAAATTGTTTCTCTTCTTCTTTGAGCTCGACACGAACTAAAACATTTTATACGTGCACTCTCATTTGTATTTGTGTACGAAATATTTTTTTTTAATTTTTGTTTCATTGACAAATTGCAGACTAGAAGTTGGCTAACAAATTTATAAAGACTTTTCGAAGTCGTTCAAATTATTTCGTTCACAAATTTACAATTATAAAAAGCTGAACAGTGACATAACGCCATGTATGCATTTAAAAAGCGACACTTATATGTTTTGAAAATTCTCAATTATGCTGCAGGATTGATGATTGCGATTTCCTTACATCGATCAATAAATAAAAAAGAATAAAATTAAACAAGTGTCGCAGTCATTGAACTAAAAAATAAATTTAAAAAATCATTTTAGCATTCGAATTTCGCTTCATATGAAAAAAGTGTATAATCGACGGCGCTTCATGCTCGTGTTTTGTATGTACAATATACATTCAGTCCCGTGACTCTGATGCCTGATTCAGTACTTTCATCGAATGTGAAACGAAACTGTTTTTCTTTTAGTTTCTCCATACAACTAATACAACTAAAGGCTAAAAATTAACTTGCTTGACCGAAGAAGCAAGAGACAATAATGATGATTATCATATCTATATAATAATTATATTATTGTTATAATATGTACACGCGCACAACTGTGATCGTTGCAATTATACTCGGGAGAGAAAAAAGCGCATATATTAAAACTCAGAGACAACGTATTGTACATTATTTTTTTTTCATAATTTTCAGTAAAAAAACTCGTGAAAAATTGCATAATCATAAGAGAAGAAAAGTTGGTTAACGATAATTAAAAAAGCGCGATGACGACAACGAAGAAAAAGATAACATTTTTCCTAGAGCAATCCATCGTCGTTCGTCTCGCGGGCCTATCGAAAATCTCTGATTATTAGTCTCGTCCGGATTGCCTGAATACTTGACGCTCGAAGATCAATTTCGCGGTTGACATGCTCGATCGACGAAGTTCGTGTGTGATTGTATATACGTGTCTGTCTGCATGTGTGTATACTCGTGTTTGAATGTATGTATGTCTATATTTCTATAAATATGTATGTATTTATATGTAAGAGACACTGACAATGGAAACAATGACGCCAAATTTCAGTCAAAGTTTCTGGAATCTGTCTCGCGCGTCGTCGGCGTGCCTGAAAACACATAGGAACTAAGTTGACAGTTTTTTTTTTGCATCTTTGCTTCGCAGTTCAGTGGCTGCGCACTCGTCGATGCTCGAACTCCGACGAGAAAGAGATATTACATTTATACATTGTACACTTATATAAAGCGAGCGAGCGAGGAGGTAAAGGAATGTACTTTCCCTTTGCCGAGGGACGCGTGCAGCAACGGCACGACGGCCCCGTCTCTCTCGCTTGCTTGCTCGCGGAGATTGCGCGCTTTTTTACACACTCAACGGGAATATAAGATGAAAAATCGCAGTTTATGGTCGCAGCCGCCACCGCAGAGCTTTACTGGTACGTTCTCTGCCTGAACATACTGCTGATCTCCTCGATGGACTTGTTTCTGGTTTCGGGCACCTTGAACCAGATGAACAGGGTGAAGAAGCACTGGAGGCCGGCGAACACGAAGAACACGGAAGAGTCCATGAGCGCCTTTACGGGCGGGAAGCCGATACCGACCAAAAAGTTGGCGGCCCAGTTGATGGCGATGGCGACCGAGCTGGCCGTTGGCCGGGCCGACTGGTTGAACAGCTCGGAAACCAAGAACCACGGGATGCTACCGGGTCCCGACGCGAACAAAATGATGTACACGATTACCAAGACGACTGCCATGATCGAGCATGCCTCGTAGTCCTGAAAAAAGAGACACGCAAGGTTGAGTTTTCCTAATCTTCACTTGAACCAAGGTGGACATAAAAAAAAAAAGGATTAAAGATTACTCACGCGGAAGATCAAGCAGATAGCTAAGAGTGTCGTGACAATGGTCATGCCGAAGAAGCCGATGAGCAAGAGGGTCTTGCGGCCGGCCTTCTCCACCAAGATCATCGAGACGAAGGTCATGAGTACGTTGACCACGCCGACGCCTATCGTTGCATTCTGGGCCTTATCTCCCGTGAGATTGGCCATCTCGAAGATGCTCGTCGAGTAGAACATGATGGCGTTGATGCCCGAGAACTGCTGGGCCAACATCATCATGATGGCGATGAAGATGGGGATGCGCAGGGAGGGGTTCCCGAAGAGCTCCCTCAATGTGACCTTGGGCGTGAGCTTCATGGTCTCGTGCTCGATGCGCATCTCCTCCATTTCCTCGTGAACTTCGATCGTGCCGCGAAGCCAAGTCAGAGCTGTCGAGACAAGAAAACGTCTTGATAAACGCCCGATACGAGAGATTGGACCACTGCCAATCGCTGATCGTTATTTCGTCCGGTTACTTACATCTTTGAGCGTCCATATCCTTTCCCTTGCTGAGCAGCAGGTACTTGGGACTCTCGGGACAGAAGGGCAGAGTGACGAGCTGGACGACGGCGGGTATGATGGTCAAAGAGAATAGGTACGGCCAGAGCTCGGCGGTGCCCATGAGTTTGCTCATACCGAGGACCTGAGCCACCAGGATCGAGATCGTGATGACGAGCTGATAGACGGTACCCACGGCACCTCGCAGATTCAGCGGCGATATCTCCGACAGGTACATGGGCGTCAGACCGGCGTTGAGGCCGGAGTTGATACCGATGAAGAGTCGACCGACGATGAACAGCTCCCAGCTGGCGGTCGGTTTGGCTATCGCTTCGAAGATCACGGCTAGCACGACCAGGGCGTTGTTGATGAGGAGACCGCCCTTGCGACCGAAGCGATCGGCCGCCCAGCCGATCATGCATCCACCGAACATACCACCGGCGCAGAATACCGATACGGCCATGGCCCACAGCATGGTCGCGTGGTCCTCGTAACTTTTCTGCGTTGCTGCATCGGGGTCGGTCACGTTGTCGCGACTTTTCGAGATGTCGGTGATCCAACTTTTCATTACCTACGCGTAGTTGGCGCGACAACAACAAAAAAGCCGACATTTTTTTATTCCCTTCCTCGCGAATACTTTTGATTTTCACGATTGAACGCAAATAAATGTGCACTTACGGCTTCTGGCGCATTGACGACTCCAGTGTTGTAGCCATGTTGAAACGCAGAACCGATCGCAGCGGCGCCGATCGCAAACGCCAGATGTGGATTAAAACCCTGTTGACAATAAGAAAAAAGATCTCAATCAATTGCGAGGATTATTGTTAATCTGTTTATTGTGTTGTACTGCAACAACTGCTTGCATAATCTTTTAAAATATTCAGAATCCACGTAGTTCGAAAATCGGGTCTTCAAAAGCGAATTTTTTTTTACTTTTTGGTACTTATGATCGAATCATGTATGTCATCGAATAATCAAAGGATGTATCATAAGGCAGAGCCAATACACAGTGATGTAAACAATCGCGTTGGCTATTAAAAGCTATCGTTGCGAATTGAAACAAAACCATCGTAATCGATGAAAAAGTGTAGGGAATCACGCGTACGTGAATCAGACCCTGCGTCAGATAGAACGAAGAGTCAACAACGAAAGATCTCGAGAGAGGGTTGAAAGCTCATCGTGAGTGTGTGTTTATACGTAACGAGTGCACGATCGAGAGCTCGTGTGCGCGTCTAGACTGCAGGGCAACGAGCTGACTTATTGCCTTGACACGCCGAAGCCGTAACAAATCAACGACGCGGGAATGACCGCGCGCTATCATCGGGCTCGCAGTGTAATCTTTCGCACTGATGCTCGTAAAAATTCAGTCTCTCTTTCTCGATCTCAATGCGTATTGTTTACGCTTCGATCTGTGCGCGCACTGCACGATATTAAAAAATCTCCATTTTTAATAACGCTAAAAAAAAAAACATTTTTTTGTTGTATTCAATTATTTTATCCGCGAGATATGATCGAGGCACAGTTTTAATTTTGAAACGCAAAAGTGCTGAGTCAAAGTCGAGATCCTATTTTTCGTGATATTCAATGTAAAAAGTTGAAGTTGAGCATTAAAGGCATCATGCATTGATTCGAAACGCTTGCTCGACGTATCAAATTGTCTTTTTCCAGAAAGCGCCGCCGAGGCCAAGACACAATATTATCAATAAAATTATATTTTCTATTGGAAACGCGATTTCTATTATCATACGTATCAAATAAACTTTCGATCCATAAGTTTATAACGTTTTAGTTACGTAAAATATATAATTGCGTCACTCAAATGTTCAAATCTATTGATTCTTCCGAGAAAATATGCATCCTGGAAATTTTTTTGACGTCTATAGGTAAATTTGAGTTTCTAAATTATAAAATGGTCGTACATTTTTTTTAATTAAATGCGGAACACGACAATTTGCGCATGCATCCACACGTGCGCATTATAATTTTTTCGTTGTCGAACGTGGTTGCATACAAAAAAATGAGCCAGTAATTGTCAGGCTCGTCACAGCGAGGATTTGAAAGTAAAATATCTGCCGTATATCGCAGATGCCGAGAAAAAGACTGCATAAACGAGTACTCGAACTCTTGAAAAGCGAAGCGAGAGCTGCGGCTCTTGTTTGCTTGCTTGCGCGCGGGTATCGGATGTCCGTTTCAAGGGAGTTCGAGAGAGGTGAGTGAGGAGAGAGAGAGAAGAGCTGAGCCGCACGAACGTCTGAGGTGACAAGTGCATTTGTTACATGCACGTATGAGCGTACATTATGCATGTGTAAGTCGCGCGTATTCGTTTACGCAAACTTATACATCCAAGTCCGAGTGTTCGCAAGGATATTTGCAATATTTTTGCTTTGTTATTTCGACATCGTCAGCGTATATAAACAGTCTCGTGGTTAAGACTTTGACTCGTCTCCCAGTCGTTCGCGGGTTGACTTTTGTATTAACAGCATGGAACTGAACCGTAGCCAGACGTTTTCGACGAAAAATTTTGGCTTGTCCGAAATTAACTAACAAAAAAAAACCAGATGAACAGAGAATAGTACCAAAACTGTACTATTTCATAAGAAGCTCGATAGCCATTATATTTGTTGGTATAGGATCAAAAAACTTACTCGAATAGGCCTCTTGATGTAAGGCATCCTTCCCTAAGAAAAGCTCGGTTCGAGTCGAGTTGTTGTGTTTTTTTTTCACGTGGCAGCCCGCAGCTCGTCGCACACAGCCGACAATATCGATTCGTTTCGATCGGAGCGAAGGAATATTGCTCGAGCCGACGCGCGCGTCTACCGCAGCACTGCGCACTCTTTTGCTTTTGGACTCTCGAGTCGCGGAAACAATGCACTGGCCAGGCCGTATAGTGTCGTTGCGCTTATAATTGTGCCGAGTGGAATTGCGAGCGATATTATATATACATGCACGAGAGAGAAAAAGAAAGAGAGAGAGAGAGGAGTGCGAGGCGACGAGAGGCAGCAGTGCAGAGCACAGGCGAGCAACTGAGCGCAGTATAATAACGGCGCGGCGTTTTTCCGAAGCAACACGTGCTTCTGCAACTGCACTGCTCGCGCGGGGTGCTGACCGGCTCTTTATATACAACCGTGCGCGTATCGTCTGTTTGCACAGCTCCCATATGTGTAATGCACACATACACACGAACGTTTTAGCTAAGTTCAACTCCATCGCTTGCGTACATGAGCGATCCCTACTCTTGAGCTGCTACGAGCGCATTGTGAGCTTTCGGACTCGTTTATATAGATTGTAGCAGGCAGGCATTCCGAGTCACTGGCACCAACACGGGTCGATACTCATTGGCGAGATTTTAAGCAGCTATATTTCAGATCGATCGAATTACGCTTCCTATATCAAAGCTCAATGACTTTGATTCGAATCCACTTTCGATTAAAAAATCCTTTTCATTTATTTGAAGTTTTATTTCCATGAAACTCATCTGTTTGTTGGATTAATTGGCATACTAGACTTTTTTTAAACTATTCTTTAAATGTGACACAGTAAAGACGAAAGAAGTTACAGTGCGTAGTGTACAATTGAAACAAATTCATATTTAACTGACACGGCCTGCATTGTCGTTAGTTTCTCGATACGTCGGCATGGCCCGTACAGTTCTCGATAGGGTCTTCGCTTAAAATAGATCTATTTTTCTCAGATCAAAAATATTATTATTTTTATCGAGAGCGGCTTATTTGATTCATCAGCCGCTTCGTACCACGAGAAAGCGATAAAACTCAAGATTCAGTTTAAGAGGCCTGAGCAAGTGGTTATAGCTGGAAACCATTGGTCTCATATTTTCTCATACGTCCACATATTCGTTCAATAATTTATATTAACGATGTACTGGTACTTTAAATAATAAATGACAAAATGAACTAGACATTTTTAGCAGGAATATGTTATTTTAATATTTGTATAAAGTTTTGATCCTTTGTACAGAATTAATTCCAAGTTGAACAACAATGGGCCTTAACTGAGCGAAAGTTGAGAAAGAGATCTTATAAGCTAAGAAAGTATCCGAGTAATTGTTTGCAAAAGATTAGCGAGTAAATAGTTCAAGTAAAGAAAATTATTACTCAATAAATCAAACAGAGCAAGGCAGACATTGAGCTTGAAACGAATTGCTTTTCTAGGATTACAGAGCTTTAGTGAATAAATGTTTGTTTTTTTACAGTTTACTTAAAGATCATTACTAGGATTATTTCCTAGCTTTTTAATATTGTATGTTTTCAATTAACTGGATTTTTTTAAATCCATGATAATCGATGATTATTTAATCACAATTCCAGAATTATTATAATAATACGAGTTTGATTAATTTAAAATTATTTTGCCAAAAATGTGAGTTCACTAAAAATCAGGTTCTTTAAAGTTCGAGAATAAACAATCGTTATACTTTTTTTAAATTCTTTTACAAGATTAGTCGTTAAAAGCTCATTGCATCACGCTATATAGCTTTTCGTGATAACATTTGTTTGGTAAAACTATCTCAGGAATCCACTTATTATAGGTAGCTTATACATTGCATACGTCAGAAGCATGTAAATGTTTGCTTGTGTTATAAAATTTGGAATTATCTCTTGAGTTAAGTCTAGACATTGTAATATACATTTTGATACGAGCACGCGCAAGTCTCAGGCGATATAATATGAGAGCAACGTAGTGGATTTGCTCAAAGTATACACGGCAAACCGAAAATTAATATTGGAGTAGTTCGCGATAGAGCGGGCAAGTAATTGGATAGACTCCGAGTTGATTGAAGGATGTTCCCCGTAGAAACTAGAATAGGACGTCACTGTGGTGTTGCATCGACATTTCGCCGTGACCGGATATTAAATTATTTATCGCAGTGTAGGCCATAGACGACGAAGCTGCGTTGTACGGTACATTGTATTGCAAATGTGCGTACGAATATGTGTCTGCGTAATATGAGCATACATAAAAATTGATTCCTAACGAAGCTTTTGAGCATCAAGATTTGCGTTGTAATATAACGGTAGCATAATTGTAGCCGGCCGCAGCGAATAAAGAGATAAGGATTAATTGAGAAACAGAATATTGCTGGCGCGCATGACTTTCGAGTAGCTCCTGCATAAACGTATACCGACTATCGCGCTATGTTTGAGTCGCGATTAAAAAAGTATTGTTACTTTGCTTGTTAAGTGCGGGAGAACGTATAGACAAGCCGCTGCAGTAGCGACAGTGCCAAGTCGTACCGGTCGTAAACGCATTCAATTCGTTTGCAATTCTTTGCCATAGGATATATATCTTTCGTCATTCCTTTTGTCCATCTTCCCGATCGCAGTTTATAAGCTCGCGTATAATAGAAAGACCCGAGCGTATAGTCTCTCCCGCAGCGTTTCGACGAAACTCGACACGCCACTTATAAGCAGACGGACACTGCTTTTGAAAAAGAAACGAGTCGCCAGATGGAATTTGCGAGGCAGCCTGCGGACACTTTCGGCCGTTCCTGCTGCTGTTGCTTGTGCAACGTGCTCAGTTTTGCGCTTGTATGTGTGTGTGTATGTGCTGTTGTGCGCACGGACTGCCGGCACTCGGATCTTTTATTGGAGGTGTGACGCTCGTGGAGGATCGCCATTGGTCAGCGATTCGGACGAGCCTCCGACTCGTCGCATTCGCATACATAATAACAGTCATAGTCCAAGTTTAGCGACTATAAGCGTGCACGAACTCGCAACTTTGAGCCGTGTGGCAGCAGACTTTTAAACGAGAGGAAGAAG